GGAATACAAAGAATACAAACGTGATGTCGTTTTATTATTGAGAAAACGACAAGCCGTTAAAGTATATTGGACTATTGGAGAAAGTTGGAAGAAAGATTTTGCTTCTCCTTCATCTGAAATCGTGAAAATGGAAAAAAAATAGAAACATATACTGCTGAGAGGAAAGGCACACACAACGTGAACCATCTGTCCAGCTCAGCAACAGGAGGAAAAATAAAACAGTAAAAATAGCTAATTAGTCTATTACATTATTCTATTTAGAAAAGCATCCTAACTATTCTAATACTCCCCCTCAAGATGGAGAATGGATGTCGTGAATTCCCATCTTACCAAACAAAGTAAGAAATTGTCCAAGAAATAGAGGCTTCGTTAGCAAGTCTGCTAACTGATGTTGTTAAGAAACATGCAGCGTCTTTAGTACACCAGCTTGAGTCTTTTCTCTAACAAGGTGACAATCAATTTTTGTGTTTTGTACGCTCATGAAAGACAGAATTGGCTGCTATATGCAAAGCTGCCTGGTTATCACGTAATAACGCTGCTGGCTTATGGTGATCTACATGAAGATCCTTGAGAAGGGAGAACAGCCACATGATCTCACAAGTTGCATTCGCCATGGATCGGTACTCTGCCTCTGCAGAAGACCTTGACACTGTCCGTTATTTCTTAAATTTCCATGATACAAGTGAGTCTCCAATGTAGAGATGTCAAACGTGCCGTGCTGGGCCAGCACGGCACGCTTGACCCCAGGCCCATTACGAGCCTGGGCCGTGCCTGGGCCGGGCCTGAGAAGAAAAACTCAAGCCCGGTCCAGGCCCTTGGCCCTAGTCCATAAGGGCCAGGGCCGGGCCCGGGCCCAGGCCCTTGTATTTTTTTTTAAAATTTAATTAAAAAAATATATATCATATGTCTCAAAAGATGTGATTTTATTGAATTGACGTAATAGGAGTACACATAAATGACTGCCTCGTTAAAAACCTTGCTAAGTAAAACCTGTGGGGAGATCAGGACAAAACCTTAGCGAAAGAAAAAAGAGTGCGATAGCTAGGAATAGTAAATTACAAACCTAAGTGCTTCCAGAAGATTCTGTTATTTTTAAGTTAGAAAAATATTCTTGCATCGAATCATCTGTGTATTGTTGTTTTCGTCTTCTGGCATCTTTCCAGTCTTTAACGCACATTAGTCCCTCCAAGATATCTGGATGCATTCTGCTTCTCTTCTCGTCAAGAATTCGGTTGCTTGCGCTAAAAGCTTGCTCCGATGCTACCGTTGACACTGGAGTTGTAAGAATGTCACGAGCTGTTATGGACAGTGTTAGAAAACGATCGATCTTGCTCTTCCACCACTGTAAGATGTCTAGTTTGTTGTCATCGATTATAAAATTTACTTTAAAATATTTGACTAGTTCCGTAGACGCTTGTGTTGAGGGCGGTCCTGCCGTTTTCTCTTTCTTCTTCAAGAAACTCCACGACGATCCTTTAGGCCCCGAACTGGTAGTTGACGACGAAGTTCCCTGTTCTTTTTGACATGTGCTATATTTTGCTTCATACAAACTAAAAACTTTTTCTAACATTTTCTTAGCGTCAGTAATACTTAGTTGCATATCTATTTCTAAATTCTGTGCGGTAGCAGTCATCAATGATTCAGTTCCATCTACTCCGCACCTAGGATCTAAAATGGTTGCCAATGCATATAACACGGGACAACCTGACCAATAACTTTTAAATTTGTTTTCCATTAAGTTAACTATATTTTTAAAAAATTCTGTATCCCTATAATAAGAAAATGTTTCTGAAATATTAAATAGTTGATGTAAAGCTAAATGTGCACTAGGGTAATAAACTCCAAAAAGTAATTCAGTAGCATTGTAAAAAACTTCTAGAAATTTAAAAAAATACTTAGCAATCTGCCAATCAGGATCGAAAATTAAAATTTGATTATTCTTACTGTTTACGTATGTCGTGATAAGCTGTGAATACGGGAGTGCTGCCTTCAACATTAAATATGTTGAATTCCACCTATGTCTCACGTCAGTTGAAAACTTTCTTGGGCGCATCTGGCTGTTCCTGCAATATTGTTTGAATTCTTGGAGCCGAACTCCAGAACTAGATATGAATGATAATGATTCTCTAATATTTGTAAGATTAACTGAGATATGTTCAATGCCTGACTGAACTACTAAATTAATTATGTGACATACACACCATTGATGAAAAATTTTTCCTCCAAATGCTGGTTTCAAACTACGTTTAAACAGATTAATTGCAGCTATATTAGCTGACGCATTATCAAAAGTAATTGTTAAAACTTTATCTTCTATCCCATAAAACCCAAAAATTTTCATTATTGTATTAAAAATGGCTGTTGCGTTATGAGGGTGTGAACATAACGAAAACCAATTATTCTTTTTTGTAAAACTCAATCGTCATCAACGTAGTGCGCTGTGACACATAAATATCTAGTTTTATTGCACCCCTCCCACAGATCAGAAGTGCAAGAGACAGTAGCATTAAAAGTCCTAAAATTATCAACAAGAGATTGTCTCATTGCATAAAAAACTTTCATGCAATCAGAAGGAGTTGTGTTTCTACTTACCCATTTAAATTGTGAGCAAAAGGCTGTCTGGATGAATTCTTTGAACGAGGCATCATCTGCAAAAGAAATAGGCAATTCGGCACTAGCTAGAAATTTAGCTAGTGTCTCACGAGCACGTTGTTGTGCATCGTATGCAAAATTTTGTAACCCCTGTGATGTGAGTGATAGTGTTTGTTGGCGGGAGTCCACACTCCCACCTTGGTACAACGTTTAACATACTTTCCAATGTCTATCCAGATGACCAGTACCCCCACCCTTTTTATTAGAAAAGTGATTTTTACAATATTTACATACCGCACGAATTTTCATCTCACCTGTTTTTAGATTTGGTCGGGGCTCCTCGGTGAAATGCTGCCATGCTGGAGAAGTTCGCGGTCTTTTTCCTCTACTACGTTCTCCAGCTTCCTTGTTGTGTACTGAAGCATTATCAACCGGAGCATTTTCTGGTTCAGTAGGGATGGGGTTGGGAGGCATCATTTCATCATCATAAAATGGCTCATCACCAAGCTCAGGAAGAGCAGTGAAATCAGGGAAGTTTGCAGCGGCCATTTCTGAAAATTGATAGAACTTGATTGAACTTTGTAAATGAATGAGCTAGAAAATGAATGAACGCAAGAGAAAAGCTTAAAATCAAAATCAAAGAGACAAGTTGAGAGATAGAATGAGAGTGAGATGAGAAGTTGAGAGTGAATTGTTCTGTGAGATTTATGGTGGAATTAAGGGGTATTTATAGGGGATTTTGGGGGTGAATTTCTGAATTTTTGGGTTTTTAGCCGTTGGGCCCTTCGCAGGCCAAACGGAAGGCACGTGACGGGCCAAACGGGAGGCCCGTCACATGCCTCCCGTTTGGGCCCGCGAAGGCCCCTGGACCAAATGAAATGGGCCGTTTCGCGGGCTTGGGCCGGGCCGAACAAGGGTCGTGTCGCGGGCCTCCACGTGCTTGGGCCGAGGGCTGAGAAGCTAAGGCCTAGGCCTAGCCCATTACACATATTGTGCCGGCATGGCCCGTAACAGTAGCGAACCGGGCCGTGCCGAATCTGACACTATTACGGGCTGGGCCGGGCCGTCCATGAACGGCCTAGCCCATTTGACACCTCTACTCTAATGAAAACACAAAAGCCACTAATGGACTTTCTTGTATCAGGACAAGCAGCCCAATCTGAGTCAGCAAAAGCTTTCAACTCTATTGCCGAGGTAGAAGAGAAGAAAATGCCCTGACCAACTGTGCCCTTCAAGTATTGTAGAACACGACAAGTTGCCTTCAAATGAGTCACTTTAGGATTAGCAAGAAACTGACTTAGCCAATTCACTGAATATGAGAGATCCGGTCGTGTGATACTAAGATACAACAACTTTCCAATCAATCTCCTATACTGGGAAGGATCTTCCAGTGCTTCTCCGTCATTCTGGGAGAGCTTCACATCACCATCCATGGGTGTTTTCCTTGTCTTACAGCCAAGATGTCCTGAATCCGAGAGAAGGTCCAAGGCATAATGTCTATGGCTGATTGAGATACCTTTAGTAGACCTAGCAACCTCAAGTCCAAGAAAATATTTCAAGTCTCCAAGGTTCTTGAGTTTAAATTTGTTGTCAAGGAACTGTTTGAAAGCTGTCACATAATTCAAGTCATTGCTAGCAATCACAATGTCATCAACGTATACCAAAAGAGCTACAAAGGAGGAACCTTGAATTTTGGGGAACAATGAGTTGTCTGCAGTTGACTGCTTGAAGCCTTTAGCAATAAGAACGCTTGAGAATTTTGAGAACCACTGTCGGGAGGCTTGCTTAAGTCCATAGAGGGACTTATGAAGCTTACAAACGACATTATTGGCATAGTCTCCCCCTCACGGTGAAGACTAGGAGGCAGTGACATGTATACTTCCTCATCAAGATCACCGTACAAGAAAGTGTTATTAACATCGAGTTGAGTTAAACTCCATCCATGAATGGCTGCTAAGGCAAGCAATGTCTTCACAGTAACCAATTTTGCTACTGGTGAAAAAGTATCAAAGTAATCAACGCCCTCTTGTTGGGTGAAACCCTTAGCAACTAAGCGAGCTTTGTAACGCTCTATGAAACCATCAGCTTAATACTTAATCCGGTAAACCCATTTGCAACCAACTGTGTGTTTACCAGGAGGCAAGCTAGTCAGAGACCAAGTCTCATTCCTTTCAAGAGCCTGCAGCTCGCTGACATGGCTTCACGCCACTCTGGAACAACAGCAGCCTCAGTAAAGGTGGTAGGTTCAACATTTGAAGAAATGGAACAAACTAGAGTTTTATAAGGAATTGGCAGTTTGTCATGAGAGAGCACTTTAGATAGTGAGTGTGCAGTGGAACTGGAAACATGAGTAAGGGAAGAACATTGGTAATCCTGCAAATAAGGAGGTTTTCGAGGTCGAGTAGGATGTATGATAGCATCAGGAGCAGTATCAACAAGAGGCGGTGAGGAAGGATGATCATGAAGAGAAAGTGGCCGGGCACAATCAAAAAAGAAGTCCTGAGGACTAGATTTGGAAAGAGAATCACAAAAAGGAAAAATAGTCTCAAGAAAAACGACATCTCGTGAAATGAAAATGGCATTGGTGGTGAGATCAAGAAGCTTGTATCCTTTGTATCCAGGTGGATAACCCAGGAAAACAGCTTTGGTAGCACAAGGATAGAACTTGGTTCTATGTCTAGCCAATGTGGAGCTATAACATACACAACCAAAAGCTCGTAAATGTGAGTATGAAGGCTTCCTTTTCCATAGGAGTTCATAAGGTGTTTTATTAGATAACAAGGGTGAAGGAATGCGATTGATGAGATAAACTGATGTTAGGACACAATCCCCCCAATAATTTAAAGGTATGTTGGACTGAAAATGTAAAGCGCGTGCTACATTAGAATGTGCTGGTGTTTGCGCTCCACAACAAAATTTTGTTGGGCGTATCGACACAAGAGTGAAAAGGAATGAGTCCATTTGTGCGAAAAAAAATGAGAAAATGCCAACTCAGGGGCATTATCAGAACGAACTGACTTGATTTTTATTCCAAACTGTGTGTTTATTAAGGGGAAAAAATCTGAAAAAACAGTTGTGACTTCAGAATTTGTTCGCAAAAGATATACCCAAGAGAAACGAGTGTAATCATCAACTATGGTGAGAAAGTAACGGTAACCTTCTGTGGTCAAGTGGTGAAAGGGACCCCAAACATCGTAATGTATTAATTGGAATGGTGAATTTGTCATGGAATTACTAGAGGGAAAGGGTAAGCTACGCTGTTTAGCCAAATGACATATTGAACAATGATCACTTTAATCAGAAACATCAGAAATCTGTAATTCATTCCTTAAAACATTGAGTTTTACATATGAAGGATGTCCTAAACGACAATGCCAAAGGTCACTTTGCGACAAAGAAACATTATTACAACTGTTTGATGAACTAGGAAATGAGGAAAACTCGGGGGCAAAATTGTGTAGGTCCAGAAAGTAGAGGTTTTCCATGTCTCCTACCCGTCCCAATCGTTGTGCCCTGAGAATGGTCCTGGATGGTACAAGAATTAGAAAGAAAATTAACGGAGTAGTGATGGCCTTGGGTAAGAGCACTAATGGACAAGAGATTAAAATGGAACTGTGACACATATAGAACGTTATCTAACACCAAGTTAGATGATAATTTTACTGAGCATGTTCGATCAATTGACACAGTGTGACCATTTGGAAGAGTGACATGAGAGTTAGAAACAGGAATGGATGACATGAATGAATTTAATGAGCAACATACATGATGAGTTGCACCGGTGTCAAGAATCCAACATGAGGAAGAAATGGGATGAGTGGAAGAGGTAGAGGAAAGGGATAGTATACCACTGAAATTTGAGACTGATGGTCCAGATTGCTGCGGATCAGGAGTGACGCATGACCTGCCACATGCCTTGCAGCTGCGTGGTCAAGAGAGCAATGAGTTGTTGGCACTGATTGGATGTGAGGCCATTGAGAGGATCTGAGGAAGCAGAGCAATTCTATTCTGAAGAAACGGCAACAACCTAGTTTGTATGAGCTTTAGCTTGTTGACCCTTTGCCTTCGTTTTGAAGCCAAGAGGAAAACCATGAATCCTATAGCATTTCTCAACAGTGTGCCCTTGCAAGCCACAATGGGAGCAATGTGGTCTATCACATTTAAACTTCTGGTTCAAATTGGCAGAAGAGGCAGCAACTGAGGGCTTCTGATCAGCACCAAAAACGTTTGGCTCAGAGGGAGAAGGCAGAACTTCACCAATCATTCTCTGTCTCTCTTCTTGGAGCACGAGCGCAAACACTTTTGAAATTTGGGGCAAAGGATCCATCATCAGAATTTGAGAACGAATCTGAGTGAAAGACTCGTTGAGACCCACAAGGAATTGCATAACATATTCTTGATGTTGGTAGTCTAACCAAGTTTTCATTCCTCCACATCTACAAACCGATATAGGCTGAAAAACCTTAAGTTCCTCCCAATAGATCTTCAATTTAGTATAGTAAGTATTCACATCCATGGATCCTTGTTGCAATCCAGTTAGATGGGTTTTAAGTTGAAAAATCCGTGGACCATTGCTCTGACTGAACCGATCATGAAGATCGTTCCAGATCTCAAGAGTTGTGTCCACATAGAGCAAGCTATTAGCTATATCCTTAGCTACTGAGTTCAAAATCCAGGAAATTACCATGCTATTGTGGTGAATCCAGAGCTTGAATAACAGATCGTCGGGAGATGGGTGAGGAAGACTTCCATCTACGAACCCAATCTTGTTCTTCGCTATGAGAGCCATGATCATTGATCGGTTCCAAGTATTGTAGTTGGAACCAGTGAGATGATGAGAGACTAGGACGAGCCCTGGGTGATCGCCGTTGTGAAGGAAATACGGGCTGCTTGAATCTTCCATTTGCGAGGAGCCAGAGGAACCGGAGGAACCAGTGATTTGGACCTGACGATTGTTCCCTCTCGCCATGAAAGCTCAACGAAGCTTTCTCTCTGATACCATATTGGAATATTAGAGAAAGTTGGAAGAAAGATTTTACTTCTCATTCATCTGAAATCGTGAAAATGGAAAAAATAGAAACATATACTGCTGAGAGGAAAGGCACACACAATGTGAACCATTTGTCCAGCTCAGCAACAGAAGGAAAAATAAAACAAGTAAAAATAGCTAATTAGTCCATTACTTTATTCTATTTACAAAAGGATCCCAACTATTCTAATAAAGTAAAACAACATCTTTACCAAACGTGAAGGCATGAAAACTATCCAGCAACGACAAAGCGTCTTTTTCCCCCTCTCAGGCTAATACATTGGACCTTTCTGTAAATTTACAAAATTATTATAATGAGGAAGTTTGCTTCTTAGTCAAGCTGTTAATTAGAACGATGTAAATATGTATGTTATGTATTTCTAGGTTGACTTATTTGCGTGACTCTTATCCCTCTTTAGAATCATATTCGGGTTCTATTACTGCTGTGATTAAGTTGGCTCTTAAACATTGCTGGAGATTCGGTTTTCTGCCGATGTTTTACAAAGGAACAATGTTCTGTTCTTTTGTGTTTCTTTTGGCCTTTGGGATTTTGGTCTTCTTTTTAAATATCAAACAGGACTTCAAACAAACAAAAAAGCACCTCCTAAATATCTCAATCAAAGGTACTATACTAACAACCAAACACAGAGAAGATTTGAGAAATTCAACAAGTAAATATTTGCAACTAATTAAAACCATATCCAAGTATGTAAATTTCTCTGTGATTCGTGGTTTCAACATGTTAATCATCTTAAGCATTAGTTATAGCTATATTATCCATTCCTGGCAATCTTCTAACTCTTACTTCCTGTGTACCCTGCAATGATATCTGCACAAATTTGAGAATCAGCTTTCATAGAATCAACAAGCATCCGACCTCTTAAAGCATATCAGTCAACTACTTGCTGCTCACTTGACACCAAAAAAGGAAAATCTGGACTCTTAACTCCAGTGAGTAATGTGTATGACTAACTTGAAAGTGTTTGTGTTGGTTCTGAGGTAGGAACAAGAATTGCTTTCTCAGCAGCTTTTGATGCAGCAATCTCTTCCAAACGCTTCCACGCAGTTTCTTGTTTTCTTCTTGTCTCCTCCAGTTTTGATTGGTCCTCCTGAAATTTGTGCAAACACTCCTCAAACAGCTCGGGATCAACATCAGAGAAAATGTTGTGGATTTCAAGCATCCGTTTTTTGACATCTTTGTTCCAGTGATTAAGACCATTCTCCAAGGCCGGGAAAATGATGGGCAGTATCACTTTGTGGTTTTGTCTAACTAAGTTCTTAATGTGATCATTCTTCAACAAGCACAAAGCCCTCTCAGCCACCTGTAGAAAACAAGAAACCGAAAGCTAATTTTTCAGGTTCATAGTAGGAATAGCATGTCTAAGAATCAGAAAGAAAGCATAATTCATTAGTATAACTTTGGCATGCAAGTCTTAGTTCAGTATTCCATACAGAGAAGTTTCATACACAATACTTGGATTCAGTATGAAATTCCTAATAAGAATTGGTACCTAAGAAGTTTCTAATCATAAGTTTGGTAAAACAAAAATACAGAATACCAATTGCTCTGAACTCTGTAAGTTCTCTGTCTTTCCTAGAATTTGATAGATTTTGAGTGAGATACATTTTGCACAATGTAAAAGACAAACTCATGCGTGAAAGAATATTTCTTGAAGAAGTGCATTATATATTAAATGGAAAAGGAACATAAATGAAGACCATATTTTATATCTCACAACCTGAGAGCGAGAGCTGCTCAAGCATCGAGCAATCTGGCGAAAAATGGGTACCATACATCCTTGAAATTCAGCGGGCTGAGTCGCTTTTAGAATGTCCTCCAATTCAAATAGGAAGACAATTTCCTTTGAACAATTAGTAATCGGCCAATACTTCAACAATCCTCTTATGGCGGTATCCGTGAGCTTGCAGTCTTTCTCCACAAACCGCATAATGCAGTACGACAACGGCTGATCATACATCGGTAAGCACTTCGGTTTATGAAGTGGAATCAGAGCCCGGACAAGGAATAGTTTGTGTTCTTCCTTAAGTGGCAAGGCCAAGCCATTGATTATACCTCCCAAACTGTCTAAAATATCCGCAATCCCGGCATGCTTCTCCGTCTCGAAAACAAATCGGAGGAATATGTTGTTCATCACCTTCCTTATAAACAGGCGATGCCCCGTAAACTTCCCATATATGCGATGACAAACCGTTTTGACACGCTCCCTTTCCCTGGGATCCTCGGATTCGAAAAGATCAAACAACTTGCGAACAAAAGAATGATCAATGTACTTCCTGGCCAACTTTACGTCGGTTTGGGGAGACGTAATGAAATTCAATAAGAACTCATACACAACACTCAAGTGTGGCCATGCGGGCTCCACAAAAATATCTTCCTCTTCCTCATCCAGATCAAAGGCTTCGACGACGACGACGTTGTTTTCGCGGGGTTGCGGCGAGATTGACTGAGACCGAAACAAATTCACGGACACCATCTTTATGGCCTCCTCCATGAAAGTTTCACTGAATTTCGCATTTGCGGATTTGACATAATCCACCAGCTCAAGCAATGTCTGTCGTTTGATATCTTTTTGGTTCAGATGCCCAGCCTGGTCGGCGAAGTCAAAGACAACACAACACAAATTCAGCTTTTCAATGATCTTCGAATCTTCTTCCTCCCCAATATTCTTGTTATTATTATTATTATTGCATTTTTCTGCATCAACAGTACTAGAAATATTGTTCGACTCCATCGAAATGCTTGAGAGAAAAATTAGAGAGAGAGAGAGTTGAGAATTTTAGAGAGAGAAAACGCCGACGATATGGCACTGGTGAAGTCTGAATTGTAACGACGATCTTTACTTTTTTTTATAGGGGAGAAAAATAACAAGAAAAAAGAGAAAACTAAACTCTAAGCCCTAAATCAAGCACTCCTAAGAAAAAATAATAAATAATAAATAATAATAATAATAATAATAATAATAATAATAACAAATAAAAGAATAATGAAAATTAATCTATTAATGAAGGGAAACTTCCAGAAATAGTTTTGGGAAATGTATTCAAATTATAATAAAATATAGAAAAGTAAACTATTAATACTGCTTTCTATATTTTCGCCTAAAATAAGTGTGCAATTTATATGCAAGTAGGACCGATAATAACCTAACTTCACATTAAAAGTTTTTTTTTTTTTTTTTTTTGGTGACAGCACATTAAAAGCTTTAAGAAAACCTAACTCGTAACTTTGTGGAGTTGAGGAAAAATAACAGAAAAATTAATTCAAAGTTGAAACACTAACAGCCTAATTTTTGGCATGATTGTTTGATTTTTAAACCTAATTAGCTATACAAAAATATATTTAATGAAACTTTTTTTTGAAAGGATATTTAATGAAATTTATGAACAGATATCTGTAATTTTGAGGGGAAAAAAGAAAAAGAAAAGACCCTCTTTTGAAATGGTTACAAGTACAACTTTCCTTAAACGATAAAAAGACTTGTCGTTTTCAAGTACGAGTGTCCTCTCACCATAAATAAACGTTTTGTTCTTATTTATTTATTTATTTTGGAGAATACGTGTCGTTTTCACTATATGATACACTGTAGAAGATACAAACATGTCGTTTCCACTTTAAACATTTACGACATTTAAACATGCCCTAATTGTTCCAAGAATAATAAGCTTCCGCATAAACATAAACACGGCCGAAGAAAAAGGATGAAAAGGCCGACACCAGCAATACCCAAACAACACTGTTGGAAGCAAAATTAGTCGTTTTATTGCTTCAAACCGCAACTCAAGTTTTTATTACGGTATTTTTTCTCATAAAAATTCAGATACAACTTTTTATGCTATAGTGTTTTCTCTCACATAAATTTTACTTTTTAACTCGAGTTAAAAACTCGAACCAGTAAAACTAACGAGACCTAAAATGCTGGTTGCGCCAAAGTACGGGCATTGCCACGTATTTCTGCGTAAAATGCCCCAACAAACAAATGAATCAAAGTCATTCAAGCACAAACAGGATTCCAAACAAATTATTCATTCAAATATTGATTTTTGTAAGAAGAAACAAGCAGGAAATATCATCTTTGCCTGTCACAACAAACTAGAAAGAACAATCCACGACAATCAGTCTGGCTTAAAGCCAATAAGGACCTTATTAGTTTATGTATAAAATATTAAACAGGATTTCACACACAACAAAAAAGAATCTCCTAAATAGCTCAATCAACAGGTATTATACTACATAACATAGAAGATTTTAGTTCAAGTATATGGAACTGATTAAAACCGTATATAAGTAAGTAAAGTGCTTGGTGATTGGTGGTTTCGTCATGCCATCTCAAGCATTAGCTATAGAAATATATCCATTCTGGGCAATCTTCTACTCTTACTTGTGGTGTAACCCCCTTATGATATCTGCGCTGATTCAAGAATCCGACTTCATATTTTCAATTAAATGTCTCGTGCATTAAGGCCATGTATAGAAGCATGAACAGCAAATCGTGTGGACAGCAATCGACAAGCATCCGACCTCTCAAAGCAAACCATTCATCTACTTGCTCCCTTGACAACAATAAAAAAAAGAACAACAAATCGAGACTCTTAACTATGGCGAGTATGACTAACTTGAAAGTGTTTCTGTTGGTTTTGAGGTAGGAACAAGAATTGCTTCACCAGCAGCTTTTGATGCAGCAATCTCTTCCAAACGCTTCCACACAGTTTCATGTTTTCTTCTTGTCTCCCCCAGTTTTGATTGGTCCTCCTGAAATTTGCACAAACACTCCTCAAACAGTTCAGGATCAACATCGGAGAAAATCTTGCGGATGTTAAGCGTCAAGCTTTGGACCACTTGGTTCCAGTGATTACGACCATTCTCCAAGGCCGGGAAGATGATGGGAAGTATCACTTTACAGTTTTGTCTAATTAAGTTCTCAATGTGATCATTGTTCCACAAATACAAAGCCCTCTCCGCCACCTGTAGAAGGAAGAAAGCAAAGCTACTTTTTCAGGTTCATGGTAGGAATAACATGTCTAAGAATTGAAAGGAAAAAATAACTCAACTAGTATTTGATTTTGGCATGCAAGTTTTAGTTCAATATTCCATATAGAGAAGTTTCATGTACAATACTGGATTCAGTATTAAATTCCTACTAAGAATAGGCACCTAAGAAGTTTCTTACCATTGCCAGTAGGCTTGGTAAAACGAAAATATATAATGAACAATTGCTCTAAACTCTATAAGTTCTCTTTTAACCTTAGAATTTAACAGATTTTGGGTGAGATACATTTTGCATAATGGAAAAGGTGAAAGTATGAGCATCCAAGTAGATTCTTTAAAACTAAATCCATGACGTTTTCAACCATATTTTAGGATGTTGCCTTCAGCTATTTATAGATTTGATTTGGCTTATAATAGTTCGTGCATGAAATGAAAAAATAAAATAACTGAAGACCATATTTTATATCTCACAACCTGAAAGTGAGAACTGCTCAAGCAACGAGCAATCTGACGAAAAAGGGGTACCATACATCTTTGAAATTCTGCTGGCTGAGTTGCTTCTAGAATTTCCTCCAGTTCACTTAGGAACATAACTTCCTTTGAACTATTAGTAATCGGCCAATACTTCAACAAACCTCTTATGACGGTATCTGCAAGCTTGCAGTCTTTCTCCACGAACTGCGTAATGCAATATGACAACTGCTGATGATACATCGGTAAGCATTTCGGTTTATGAAGGGGAATCAGAGCCCGGACAAGGAATAATTTGTGCTCTTCTTTAAGCGGCAGAGCAAAACCATTGATTATACTTCCCAAAACCTCTAAAAGCTCAGCAATCCCATTATGCTTCTCTGTCTCGAAAATAAAACAGAAGAATATGTTGTTGATCACCTTCCTTATAAACGGGCGATGCACCATGAACTTTCCATATATGCGATGCAATATCGTTTTGAGATACTCCCTTTCCCTAGGATCCTCGGAATCAAACAGATCCAACAACTTGAGAACAAAAGAATGATCAATGTACCTCTTGGCCAACTTTGCATCGGTTTCATGAGATGCAACAAACCTTAGAAAGAATTCATACACAATTTGCAAGTGTGGCCATGCAGGGTCCATTAAACTCTCTTCCTCTTCCAGATCAAAACCTTCCACGACGACCTTATTCTCGCGGGGTTGTGGAGACATTGACCGAAACAAATTCACGGACACCATCTTTATAGCCTCTTGCATGACAGATTCACTGAATTTCCCATTTGCAGAAGTAACATAATCCACCAGCTCAAGCAATGTCTGTCTTTTAATTTCTTTTTCCTTCAGATGCTGAGTCGGGTCGGTGAAGTCAAAGACAACACAACACAAGTTCAGCTTTTTGATAAACAAGTTCTGCTTGTCGGAGCTTGGGACATCCCTAAATGCTGGCAAGGCTTCGTAGGAAGCAGTTACTAAGTTGCCATTTGGCTTTGTATTTGCAACTTGGGCAAGCCTACTTCCATGACTATATCCTAAATTTGAAACAGAATCAAGGCTAGGAAGAGATATACTATTCGCATTTATTGGCCCGGTACTCGCTAGATCACTACTTCTTGAACTGAAAGAAGCATTTGAAGGAGCAGATGAACCCCCAAAGTCAGATTTTTCAGCTGACTTAGATGGCTTCCGTGGAAGCTTACCGAGTATCTGCTTGATCATGACTTACTAATAAATCCAATCAAAGCTCCAAACTTCGAAAAAGCTGCTGCTTCAGAGCAGAAACCGACCCACCAAAGTGAAAAGAACCCCAACTTCACAAAGTGAGAACAAAACCGGAGGCAAAAATCCCATCTCAAACCAATGAAAAAATATTCCTCTTTTTACAAATTTGATGCCCATATGAAGATTAAACAGAACCCAGAAAGTAAAACATCGTAGCCGAAACTTTTAACTTCATGTATCATTCTCCTTTCCTCTAATAAAGCACGGGACTTTTTCTCAGTAACCCAGAACCAGAAGCTTAAAAAATGACACTTTCAACTTCCAAACAAATAAATAAAAACAATTATAACTATGTCAAGGACCTATACTAGAAGAAGCTCCAATCTTGTATCATCTTTTCTTTAAATTACCTGGTTGAAGATCATAATGATCACCAAAAATCAGCAAATCCAAATCTGGGTGTGATCCAAAATGCCAAGATAGAATTTGCCCACCAAAAATAATGCAATAATGAAAGGGACAAAGTGGTGAATTAGTGAAGAAACAAACAGGGCAGTGACCAAAAGCAGAACGAGACTAAAGGAAGAAAAATAAAGAAAAGGACAAAATGCTAGATACTTACCAAGGAAGAGTCGAATTAGTAGAGCTTGAGAGGGCAAAGATCTTTTCTTTTGCTCTTTTTTTTTTTTTTCTTTTGCAAGAGAAAGGGAGAAACAGGACAAGCTGACCAAAACAGCCCTCCTAAGAACAGAACATTCAGACAGTTCGTAAATTAATACGGGTCTCTCTCAGAGAAGATAAAGGAAACGAATATTATAATAAATAATAAGATTAATAAAACAAAAACAAAAGTTGACGAAAGAAAGAGAAAAGGTTTTCTCTCTCTCTCTCTGTAATTTTGTTAAGTGCAAGTTGGAGAGTGGGGAGCCTTTCCTTGCAAATAAAAAAGTTCTTTAAAAAAAACAAGGAAATAAGCCAAAAAAAAAAAAAAGGAGAATTGAATTATGGAATTTCAGTGTAGATAGATAACTCTTTTGTTTGTTTTATGTTTTTGTTTTTAATTTAATTGTAGAAATAACCTTTTCCCCAACGTTAAAGGCATTTACAAGGTCACTACGTTTGCCTTTTGTTATCAAAAATCGCCAACTCATTGCCAACTCATGGGAACGGAATCACAGCCTCTCTTTTTCTCTTTTTCTCTTGATGATCTCTTCTTTTTCTTTTTTTTTTCTTTTTTTTTGTAATATCTTCTTTGCTATCTTATTAAGATAAGTTTTTTAGTTCTCCAAATAAAAGTTAAAAGTTGGTAGTGACATAAACCAAGAAGGAAAAGTACATAAATTAGCACTTCCTTTAACGTGAATTTGATCTTTTTCCAAGAATTTATATTTGGAATTTTTTTTTTTTTTTTTTTTTTCCTTACTCTTTTCCAGAGCCAAAAAAAGGGTAGCATTTGCCAACTGCGACCTGGGATCAGACAATCCAAACTCCATTGATAGCATTACAGCCACGAGCATCTAAGCAAATAATTCAATTAACTCTACAAGTTTTTTTTTTTTTTTTGGGTTACTATTCATTAACCTTGAGGTGTTACAAGCTTGCTTATAATTGATTCAAACAAATTATTTTGCTTGTAGTTGAACAGGTAATGAGATTTTTTTTAACAATCATGTTGCAGTGAAGATGGACATTTCATTGTGTCCCAAAAAGATACTATTACTTATCAAACATATAACATTCTATGTCACTAAGGTTTGGTAGAAACGCTCTGGCCCAGGGGCAGGAACCTTAGAGAAATTCCCATCATTTTCTAGTGGGTTGCTTTCTATGATAGGTACCAACCCGGAAGTCCATGTTTTTAAACGTTAAATATAGTCAAAATCACCTCAAAATAAAGAAAACATGCTAAATATAGTCAAAATCACCTCCAAATAAAGAAAATATGTAAAACTCAACAGGTTCAAACCAACCCTAGTGTAAAATGCTTTCCTCTTTTCTTTTGGTGAGAAATTTAGGGAATGTGGGTATTGCATGCATGACATACCCATATCAGCAAAAGACCTTAGAATAAGATTTGAAGGAAAAAGGATCAACAAAATAATTGGCAATGTAATTTCTGGGATTTTGTTTAGTTATTGGCTAGACTCTTCCCACATGATATGATCTGAAATATTTCTCTCAGCAGGTGAGAAAATAATTGAATGCATAAACATTAAAACCCCCTGAACCAGTCAACCACTCACCACGTCACCAACCCCATCTCAATCAAGAAACAAAAAATGGAGGCCATTGGAACTGTCACCTAGAAACTCCTGCTGCAGCTAAACCGAGGCTGTACTCGGAGGAGCTTTGTAAGGAACGAGCACCGCTTCATTGCTCGTCGCTTTCTTTGAAGCAAGCTCTTCTAGACGTCTCCATGTGGCCTCACGTCTTGCTTTAATCTCTTCTTCCTTCGACTTCTCTTCCTCAAACGTGACCAAGCATTCTTTGAACAGCTCGGGATCAAGATCATGGAAGATCTTACGGACATTTAAGGTCAAGCTATGAACAGCTTGGTTCCAGTGATTCCTAGCATTTTTCTCCAAAGCAGGAAATATTATGGGCAGTATAACATGACAGTTTTGTTTGATCAAGTTCTGAATATGGTCATTGTTCCATAAAAACAAGGCTCTCTCTGCAACCTGAAAGAAAGGAACAAGTTGTGCATTATGTGAGGACTAGGAATCAGCGGTTGAAAAAGGAAGAAGATCCCTTAACTATAGATATCACCAAGGTTGCAACAGTACTAATCAATCAGATAAGACATCTGTCTATTTCTATAGACTGGATTTAGGATGTAAATGTGCGAGTGAGTCTACTACAACACTAAAAGCAAAAATAAAAACAAAAAGAAATAAGAAATAAGAAATAAAAATTTGCTATTGGGTTCAAACAGACTGTTATAAAAGTTGGTCTAATTGGCCAATGGCCATTAGCATCCACTGTGATGAGAATTCAGGCAGAAGTTGAAGAATTTTAGATAATAACAAGCATTTCCATAACAATTTACAGCTTTTACTCCATTTCCTCAACTTGGCTCGATCACTTTGTAAATGCAACTAATTGGTGAGCAGGCAAAATAAAAGAAAAAATGGATAAATGTATGGTACAAGAAACCATGTGCCATAAAGATACATAACAAGAATTTTGCACACCTACTTTAACATTAAGGATTCACATTCCATTGTCACAGAAAGCTTTGTAAAGGTCATAGATGACAATTACAAATGGCATGCTATTATGTTGCAGAATTGAAGATGTCACCGTGAAAGTTCACTCTATGCATAATCAGATGAAAGAATTAAAAAGCAAAGTAATCATTAGAGAATTAAAGAAACCAAATTACCTGAAAGTGAAAGCTGTTCAAACAACGAGCAAGCTGGCGAAACAAGGGCACCATGCAACGCTGGAATTCCGGAGGCTGAGTCGCTTCTAAAACTTCCTCCAACTCACCTAAGAACATGACTTCCTTGTTACTATTGGTGATTGGCCAGTACTTCAACAAACCCCTTATGACTGTATCAGCAAGCTTGCAATCTTTTTCCACAAATTGTGTGATGCAGTAAGATAATTGTTGATGGTACATCACCAAGCATTTCGGTTTGTGCAAGGGGATAAGCACCCGAACAAGAAATAACTTATGCTCTTCTTTCAGAGGCAGAGCAAAACCATTTATAATGCTTCCCAAAATTTCTAGCAGTTCCGCAATACCATTATGCTTCTCAGTCTCGAAGATGAGACGAAAAAAGATGTTGTTGATAGCTTTCCTTATGAATGGTCGATGTACCATAAATTTCCCATAAATGCGGTGCAGGATGGTTTTTAGATACTCCCTTTCTCTAGGATCCTCAGAGTCAAAAAGATCAAGCAACTTGAGAATAAACGAGTGATCAACGTATCTTTTAGCCAATTTCGTGTCGGTATCAGGTGATGCAACAAACCTCAAGAGAAACTCATATACAATTTGCAAATGAGACCATGCTGGATCCATAGAAGGCTCTTCCTCTTCCAAATCAAAACCTTCCACAACTTTGTGCTCGCGCAATTGCGGGGTGAAAGACCTAAACAAATTTGCCGATACCATTTTTATGCCCTCTTGCATAACCGTTTCCGAAAATTTACCATTGGAAGAAGTCAAGTAATCCACTAGCTCCAACAATGTTTGGCGTTTGATCTCCTTTTCTTTGAGGTGCTTGGTTGGGTCAGTGTAATCAAATACAACACAACACAAGTTCAATTTTTTTATTAACAAACTCTGCCTCTCGGAGCTTGGAACATCCCTGAACGCTGGCAATGCTTCGTAAGACGACGACGACACCGGGAAGCCATTAGGCCTCGACTTCACATTCGCAATTCGGGCATTTTTGTTTCCGTTATTCTGACCAACTTCTAAAGCATAATTAGCTCCTAAATTTCCAGACTTTCTAGTCCCTAATTCTCCACTTCTTGAACTGGTGGAAGCACTACTAGAATCACGATTTTCGACACTCTTAGAAGACTTCCGCGGAAGCTTACTAAGAATCTGTTTGAACATACTCAAACTACACAAAAGACCAAGTGCCACTGCCACCCTCTAAAGATTACAACACGAAATCCCAAGATTTTCAGCTACAAAACAATCCATCGAATAAGAAGAGACCCACAAAAAAGATTTCAAAATCCTGAAACCCCATTTCAAGCACAACACTGAAAATGAAAATTCTAAAAAAAAACCCACCAAAGATTTTCCTTTTTTCTTTCTCTATCTTTTCATACACCTCCTGAAAACGAAACAAACCGAGGGGGTTTTGGGAAAAGAAGCAAAACCCACCTTTTTACTGCTCAAGACCAGACCAAACCGGTGCTTTCTTCGATCACAATCTTCGATTTTTCAGTTCTGCCACTAGAAAAATGAAGAAATCAGAATCAATCAATCTTCACCGCTATTCTCTTACGCTTCCAATCTTCTGATAATAAATGAAAATAAAGTACGCAATTAAAGACAAAAAAAAAAATTGAAGCTACAGGGGATTTACAAAAATGGGGGAGAAAAATAAACAAGTGGGGGCTTTGGTAATTACCTCAGCGGAGAAAATCGCGGATTTTGTTATCCTTTTTATTTCTCTTGTTGTTGTTTGTTGACTGAGAAAATATTTTGTTTGATAATGTTTCCTCCTTTTTCTCTATTCAAAGTTTCAAACGTAGCAGGCCTCTTAAAATCCCTTAACCGTGAAAAATATCATCAATTCGCCCGCAAAAATGAAAATATATATCTATCAGTTCGAACGACAACGTTATTATTGTCGTTTTTTTATGCAATTACAATTTTTTCCCCGGAAAACAAAACATACAATTACATACAAGGCTTGGTAATACCAATTCAAGAAATTATCAACAAAATGTGGTTTATTGCAAGTTGCAACTGCTTTGTGAGTTGGGAGGTAAGTTGTTAAAATTAAAAAATCAATGGATAAATTATTAAGGCACGTTTTGTGCACGTCTTTATATTAATGATTTTGATTTATTAGCTAGAACTTTGTGAGAGAACCATTAGTGGAAATTTTTGAATTCAAATTTTTTTTAAGAAGAAAATATTGTAATAAAATTAAAATCATGAGTTTAAATATATTTGTCAAACGAGTCCTAAACCCCCTACTTCAAAAGTAAATCTGTAAATAATCTACCGTTTAGTTCGCTGATTCGAGTTTTTAATTCGAGTTAAGATGTGATTTTATGTAAGAGCTTTTTACTATTGCAAAAAAGTTAGATGTGACTGTTTATGAGAGCTTTTTACTGTAGCAAAACTCGAATTCTAAACTCGAATCGGTAAAATGAACAAGACCTAAAAAGACATCCTTAATTTTTATAGAGAATTTTTGATAAATGTTGAGGAACTTTTTTCTTCTCCATTTTTATTTTTTAAGACTTTAGTTATGTTTGTTTCACAACTCAAATTAAGAATTTGAGTTGTGTATTATAGAGAAAAATATTATAACAAAAATATTGAATTTGAATTTTTATAAGATAAATATTATAACAATATAATTTGAATTGTAAAAAGAACAAGGTTTTGGTTTTATTTTTTGGTTATACTCAGATATTTTTATAGAAGAACAACAAAATACAGTTTTAGAAACAATCCTAACTTTTTTATTAAAAAAAAAAATCCTCTTTCTATTTCTACATTTAAAACAAAACCCATTTTAAAAGGCTATGAAGCTTATTTTCTTCTTTATTTTCTCAAGCTTTTTTTCCCCTTTTAAATGAGGATATTGCTTAGACTTTTCTTTCAGTTTTGTTTTCTTCCACTCATATGTATACTTTTTTCTTTTTTTACTTTTATATTTCTTGTTTCGTTTATACAAGTTCATTGAATTGTTTTCACCTTTTAAAATCCCCAAAAGACGCGACAATTTTGATAAAGTATACTTTTTGGTCTACTAAGTCGGCTAAATCCGACAAAGAAAGCATTTGTTTTCAAAAATGGAATGTGCGATTGTAAAAGTTTAGCAGCTCTTCCAATTATTCACACGAACAAAAACGCGAGAGAGCCCATCGCCAATCTATCTCTTATGATTATACTTGTCCAGCTTAATACTGATGATTTTATCCGTGTTGATCTTATCTTGTTTTTAATTTTTATTTTAATATAATGAAAGAATGTCGATTCTTCTTATTCAATGTCTTTTTTTGTGCTTGCAGTATTTATGATTTCGTTATGTAGTAACGATAAGTCGTGTCATTCTTTTATGGCATGGTTGGTCTAATTTAGTATGTTTAATCTTACGCGGTATTATGAGTGATCTTAATGTTTTAAGTCTTTTTCGTTCTGTCAACTGCGTTTATTCTTCGACTATAATGCTTTTGTCAAATGAGTTTTTTTTAAGCTCGATTATTAATGTGTTGAACAAATTGTTTCTAATTAAGTTATTTTGATATAAAAAATAATAAGAATAATAATAAACTACATACTAAATAAGATTTCAATAATAGAGTCCACTTAAAAATCATCACAATATGAATATGTAGTTAGATTTTGATAAAAAGAAAATTAAACCACATACTAAATACGACTCATTTGTTTAGATTTTCACCTGTTATTTTGAGGATACTTTGAATATGTGTGAAATTTCTGATGGTAATGGCCATTGCTTTTTATGACTATATAAATCTATATTCACAACTCAATTAAGTACCAAGTTGAACAATAATACATTGAAGCAGCAAAATAGTTAGAGACCAACCACTTGACATTTGCAATGGAGCAACAGAGAAAAATGATGCTTGTTGTGTTGACAATGTTGTCGTTGGTTGTGGTGACCAAAGCAGCTCCGCCTCTGAGATTCATCTCTGGTCATAATTGATGTTTGGTTTATGAATTTATAATCATAATTCAGAATTATTTTTTATTTACGTGTATTTTTTATGAAAAAAATACTGTAATAAATTACGAATTATAATTAAAATCATAGCACGAATATATTAACTAAACGCGAATTTATAATCATAATTCAGAATTATTTTTTATTTACGTGTATTTTTTATAGAAAAAAATACTGTAATAAATCACGAATTATAATTAAAATCATAGCACGAATATACTAACTAAACGCACTAATAGTTCCATGTAATATGCAAACATGGGGAATTTTTTGCAGAGCGCATATGGGCCCGATTCTTGCCTCTTTTCATTGTCTCAAGGGAGACATTTGTGCCTGCGTTGGAGCTCCGGGCCCTTGAGCAGAGAAACAGATTACATGAACCTATGTACCTTTAAGATTGTTTATTTTCCTTTAAATAAAAATATCAAATAAAAGTTTATTTTATATTGTGTTTATGTTCACCTCTCTCTTTGTGCAAATATTTTTTAGTGTGGACATTATAAAAAAAATAAAAAAATAAAAATTAGAGAGAAATTTTATTGAATAAGGGCATAAGTATATATTTCATCAATTGTTAAGTTTGGGTGCAACTACAATATTTCTTATGAAGTGGATTGTAACTGAAATTTAACCAACTTTTTCAATTAGAATTTTAAGTTTTCAAGAGGGATGTAGAGGCAAATGGCCCCTTTTTGAAGGATTGTTTTAATAAATGGCCAAAGTTTTGTAAATTAGCAAAACGATCCCTTTTTTTAAAATTAACTTAGTGGATAATCATTGGTCGGCATAGACTTATCACTTATTAATTTAGTGGTCAGTTATTAATTGACTAATTTATCGTTAATTAACTTAACAGTGATAGCTTTAAACCTATTAATTCGATACTTCTTTACTATTAATCAATATCAGTTAATAATTAACTAAAATCAATTAGTAATTAATCAAATTCAATCAATAAATTACAATAATAAACTATTAGTAAATTAATAATGAATCAGTCAATCATTAATTGACCGTAAGTCCGTCATTGATTGACTATTATAGAAAAACGACAATTTTCTTAAAATTAAAAAGTTTGGCCATTTATTTAAAAATAAAAATGTCGGCCATTTATCAAAAATGGTAGAAAAAAAAAAGTCATTTAACTAAATTTTCCTTTTTGGGATGTGAGTAACGGATATCGCTTAAGCCTAACTTTGTGATCTATATTTTGTCTCGTAGGTGTCAACCTATTGCAAAAGTGGCATTTACGTGCCAAATAGACCGCAACAAATAATTATATTTTCGTGACAAAATAAACAACGTTTGTGTGCTCCAATCAAGAAAAGAACCTCGAGCCTTTTGTTACGTAGAAGGAGAAAATTGATTTTATAGGAAGTCGATCTCCCTCTCTTTTTAAGCAACTAGCTCCAGAAGTCATGAATTTGGTAATGAAAAGGAATTTACGTCTAACTACGGGGAGAACATGAAAACAAGCGCCAAACAACAACCAAGACTTTACATATATCCTTATAAAATTCCAATATCATATAAATACACCAAGCTTGACGTCCATGAAGTTGAGAGACTGGTAATTACAGACCGAGCCATTTTTTGGGAATTCTTTTATTCTTTTAAACTTGTCCAGATATTATGAAAAGATCAAAAGATTTGAGATTTTCTTTGTTTCCTCTGCGAATGATATTATCTGTTACAAATGAGTAATACTAAAGACACCAACTTAAATCCCAACTTTTGTACACCAACTGATGTGCAATGTACCAACATGAGCCGCTCAAAGGAGGAGAATATCGATAACAAAAATTAGTGTCACGCCCCAAAAGCAGACGTGGTTATGACTTATTATTTTGCCCAAACTTATTTATAGTTTGGATTTATTCGCAGTTAATCAATCTTTTCTACTTTGACCACCAAATAAAATTGTCCATATTGAATAACGAAACATGGATAAATTGACCTCCCAAACAGCGTGGCACAAAATAACTTCCAAACAAGAGAGGGAAATCTCGTATTACCTATGTCATCTTTAAACTTTCAACTGAAGGAATATAGGACTTTGTTTATATGTGAATTTCTATTCAAATGTAGGACTTCCATGGAACACTAACTGCCCATAACAACATATAAGAATTATGGAGTAGGAAGGTCTTTTAAGAAAATGACACACGCAAGCAGAAAAGGGTAAGAAGTTACAAGAGGAAGGTGTTTCGAATCGTGTAGACAGGATAATTAATACAAAAATAATGTTACTTTGATAAATTATGTGATCCACCAAAAATGTAATGCCATAGGGCAACGTAACTTTAAAAAATTATTGCTTTCATCAATAAATAAGAAGATTCAGGAACCAAAACCAAGAACCGAGCAGGAAAAATTTATAGAGTAGGGGCTACATACAAGAAGTGTGAATCTGATCCCCCAGATACCAAAGTCGCAGAATGCCAAGTGAAGGGAAAGTGAAGGATGAAAGCTTCTGCAATCACAAACTGTATTCAGCTCTGGCGTCAACAAAGGCTTGAATAGATGGTTCTCTCCCAAGAAAATCTGACAGGACTTCAATGGGTTCTTTTGATCCACCAGGGACCAATACCTTCAAGTTATTGGTAAAATCCCAGAACTAAAAGTTAGAAATGAACATAGGCCGACTCTTACAAGCATAACTTTCATTCTGTACCGGTTTTTGCAGTAAACAAGTATCAAAAGTGTGATTAAGAGCAAAGTTTTACCTTGTTCCTGAACTGCATGCCAACATACTGATTCAAAAGGCTACCACGAAACTTTGAAGAAAATATATCAGTTGCAAAAACCTGTAAGTTTTGACGCACCGGTAAACAAATTATAAAGTTCAGATGGAGTATGTGTTGCTCAGAAAGACGTGAATGACATGACTATTTCATGTAGTATTGAAGAGACGAACCTCGCTCCAAATACGACTATAACACGCAGCTTCATAACCAATAGCACTACAAGGAAAACGTGAAGCTGGATTTGAACCTTCCAACACTGGCAAACCTAACAAAATCTGCACCAGTAATTATTAAAAAAAAAAAATCAAATGAACAAACTAAAAGAAAGAGACTGCAAAAGATTCATAATTCCTCACAAGTACAATTTGATAAAGAAATTGCTATAGATGTACCTTCGGATGAAGATGCTTGAATAACTCAACACTATCGACATTGTCAGCAGAATGTATAATTTGATCAAAGAGACCTAACATAAGAGATAATTTTAAGTCATGTAGGAGCCAAGAAGAAAACTATTCAGTAACATGGTTGTAATCAGGTGCATAATACAATAATGGTTTTTCCAGAAGAAGCAGAAGCACACACCAAAAAATAAAAAAATAAAAAATAAAAAAGCACGAATATGTTGGAACTCATGGTGTTACGGTGCATGATAAAATATGCTAACAGTCTATTGTGCCAACATGACAAAACCGCATCGATCAGAGCCAAAGTGCACACATCCTCATCAGTCATCATATTGTTTCACGTGTTAATGCGCACCCTGTAAACTAAAAAGAGCTTAAAAGTAAAGGACCAGCCCCACAAATGATAGCATACACCTGGAAATCCCTTATTCTTCATTGTCCCACCCAGGTTCTATTGAACTCCATTTCCTTAATAAACCTAAATATTAGATACCAAAAACTCCAACCACTATGGCTGCATTTACCCAATTTATCTAGTAAATAAAACCTATCGTAACATTCTAATTCTGTCATGTAATTGCCACAGAGAGGCATCATATTTATGGCGAAATCATAAAACCAAGATCAAGCTGAACTAGATTAATGGGTTAGCAATCCAATAAAAGTTTTGAAACCTGCAAGAATCAATCTACCATTCCAGTTGGAAATATCTGAATGGTCAAAGGACTTACAATAAAGAATTTCTTGCTTCAATTTGAGGGCAGAAAATGAATATCTCCATCTTTTAAGCGATTTACATGTTTCATCCTTTATGGGCCTTGTTATATCCTTAAAGTCACCAAAATCAGAAAATTATACGGCTGATGTAATTGAACTTAGTGGCATTAGAGGGAAGAAAAGAGGAGGGTAAATTAATCCTCACCTGATAGAAGCCAGATATCAACTTCAAAGAAGAAATCTCGTAACACCTAAAATTTTCGTAACACTTTAATAAAGGGAGAATGTGGTTTAATCCAATCAGTAAAATAAAGAGAATGATCCGTGAGTTACCAGTTCTCTAGCACCTGAGCAGGGACCTCAACAAAATCTGGATCATAGCCCAGGCCAGAAAATCTCACAAAAGATGCACGATTGCATATGTGTTGAACCTAAAAGAAAACAATTAAAGCCGGGTGTTATATGTCACATCACCATAACCATAAGAAGATGTTTCTATGTCATGGTGAAATCTCACGGAAACAATTTGCAAGGTAAAATAACTTCAGTGAGAAGATAATACAACTTTTTCTTCCAGGACACATGGAAAGGAAATAATCCAAGTTTTGCTTCCAGGACATGTGAAAAAGGAAATATAACATACCACGTGGCCAAACTCATGAAAGAAATTAACCACTTCAGAGAATCGTAACAACCCAGGTTGTCCTTCCTCGTCCTTTTGAAATTGAGATAATAACAACACCACGGGGATCTGGTCGCAGAAACAAACAATAAATAAATTACAATTGGATTGGCTAAAATAGGATGATAGAATATTCATGATGTATGCAAATTATGAACATGACAACTGAAGAGCTGACAGGCACACAATGATCATGATGCAATATGGAACATATACTGAAATCACCACACGAACTCAAAAGAAAAATCTCACTCTAACACACAAAATAAGACCATGACGCAAGAAGGGTCCTTTAACACTATAAAACGTGGGGGAGGAGCCCACATTTGGAAAGGAGAAGATCACCGATGGACAAATTCTCTACGCTATTAGCAAAAAGGGAAAAATTCAGTGGCCACAAAGTACAAAACTTTTACTTTCCATGTGGACTTTTATAGTTTGAAAGCACAAACCTGACGTGCACTGTTGGGTGATAATGCACCATTTTGAAGACCCACAACACAGGTGTGATTATATTTTCCTTCTCTGTTCAAAGAAACAACATCAGTTGATTTCCATCAAACTTGGGTCACTACTTTTGTACACACACAAAAAACAATATACATATATAAATAAACAAAATGAAAATGAGTGCACTGAATAAAATGAAAAATGAGTGCTCTTGGACCTTGTGTACATATCAAGGTAGGAATAGCCCATGAGTTCACCAGAACCTGATTCAAGAACTGAAAATACACGGACATCAGAATGCCAAACTTCAGAATCATCAATTTCCTCAAACCTTAAACCTGCATAAAATAAAGGTAGAAGTAACAGTTTTAGTAACATAAGGAACAAAGTGAATAATAAAATATGGGGAACTATAAACAATATGAAGACTATGTGATTACCAAATAGGTCTTGGACTATTTTGAAAATCCCAGGTAAAACCAAATTGACAGGAAAGTATTGCTTAAGATCCCCAAAGTCTAAATCAAACTCTTGCTGTTGAACCTTCTTCACATAGTAAGGTAAATCCTCAATTCCGAATGGAAGCTCTCCTTCCTCTTTCTTCTGATTTCACATAAGACTTAAATGAATGAAGAACAGAACAAAGCCAATGGATTGGAAATCATATAGCATATGCTAGATATCTAACCTTTAAGTCCTTCAACATCTTGAGTTCCTTAGCGGCCAAGTCATTCAAACTGCTGGAGATGTCCTCTAAGAACTCAAAAACCTGGAAATACATCACAAAGACTTTCAGCTACGTGAAGTTTTGAAGCAAAAGAACTTATTCAACCTCTCATTGATTTTTAGGTTTCAAAAGTTTTACTTTGGAAATGGGATCCTGATGGAAAAATTAATCTCGAATGCAACATGTGAACAAGGACAGGTTAACGTGAGGATCCTCCAACACATTCTTGAAGCTGCAGATAAGTTAGAGAAAAATACGACCATGCAATTGGTTGATCCATCACTTTGATTGCTTAATCACTGCCTAACCCATAAACGAGAAATATAAATTTTAAAAAGAGCAAAAATAGGAAGAACTGTGAAAATTTTTCTATAGTTTTATCCCTTTTTTGTAAAGTTACCATTATACATATCATGAGGACAAGAAATGGTAGCGCTAAACAAACCTTTGATGGTGTCTTTGCCATTCTAAGATCAACAGCATAATCAGCATAATTTGAATAACCCAGTAAGCGAGCAAACTTATGGCGCAGCTGAACCTAAATCAAGGTAATATAAATAGCAATTAATTTTTGTACACTTTCATTCAGTATAGTATCCCTGTAAATCATAAGAACTGAAAGTGGAAAAGAAGTCAATCTTAAGGTACAAAACAATGATTGTTAATCAACTTTTACAAAAATATGCTAAGGAAAGGGTTGAGCTAAAAACCATTGTACACTCAGTAAAAGTATCTATGAGTGCTCCCAAGTTCTACCAGTTACACTTCACACTTTCTCGATATTAAATAGCCTAAAGTTGCCAACTGAAAACAAAAATACTAACATTGTGCTATTGAATTCTTTCTCATATTCAAAAAAGGAGAGAGAGAGAGAACTTGCATTTATATATCTGTGCAAGTTAAACAGTTTCAAGTTAATAGGATTCGGTGCTGAAAATAGTTATTTGTTTCAACTGGAAAACAAGGGAATATCTCAAAACCAGTACGAAATTAATAATAGTTAGTTATGACAGAGAGCATATATTCAAAAATATTATATATATATATATATATATGTATATATATTCTGTAAAAGGTAGAATTGATCTAATAAATATGTGGAGAAGAGGGGGGGAAACAAAATAAAAAGTTTACCAGATCTTCTAAGACAGAAAGGTTGACTTCTCCGCATCTCTTACTATATGCCACCGCTACCATCTTTCTTGTTTTTCCCACCTTAATACACCAAAAAAAAACAAAAAAAAAACAAAAAAAAACAAAAATGAAAAATGAAAAAACTGAAGTATATCAATATCTGCTCACAACTATTAAACAACGTCATTGCAGTAAGAAACTTGACCTGATTCATTTTACAGATACTTGAACACAACTATACAACAGCATACCTTACAAAGTTCTAGTACTACTGCAACATGATTACTCTTCAAACTGACCTTGAATTTACCATTTGCAGTCTTGTTTAAGGTCTGCACAGGAGTAAATCCATCCAGAAAAGTAAACTATTAATACTTTTAAACTTTGAAATTGAGTTGATCTACAATGATGATGATCTGACATTACTTTTACATGGATATCTCTAATATATTCCAAGGTTATTGAAGCTTAAACTATTTAGGCCACTTTCATTTGCTTTTCTGGCCATACTTCAATCTCAAACTATCTTCATAGGTAAGAATGGCTAGCTCAAGTTTAACTCATTCAGGAATTTGCGTTATCTTTTTGGCCAGACTTCAACCTCAAACAATCTTCATAGAAAAGAATTGGCAAATTCAAAAGCTTCGTGTACATCAGGGGCTCTTTAACATCCACGTAACTATATGCATGACTATCTCCCTCTCTATGCAAGAAGAATATTGACTTTACAACACATCATAAAATGATCTACTGGCAATAAAAAAATAAAAAAAAAAATAAAAACCTAGAAGCTAAATCGACTGTGGCAGCAAAGAAACTGATAAATTTCTGCAGAAGGAAGAGAGAGATTATCAGTTCTCCCTTCTAAACTTGGGAAGGTGCCATGTCAAGAAGGTTTGCTTAATAATAATAAACAAGAGGAAAAGAGATTACTGCACCTTAAGAAACTCTAAAGGTAACCCAGCTAGCTCAGCCTCACTGAAGAGAAGAAAGGAATTGTCATCGTTCAAGTTTTGGATATATTGAAAGCTAAGGTTATCAATTTGTGTTCTCAACCGCTGCATTTCCTCCCTCTTGGTTGAAGTAAGGTTCAAGCCGTTTCGCTCAAAATCTCTCATCTGTCACTGATCAGGAAATAATCAATATACAGTTTTCTTTTTCAAGCTTAAAATAGAAAGAACTATCAGAATACATAACCTCAGAAAAGAAATTTTAGTTGCGTAATCAACAGTTTCATTGGAGGATCATATGCTCAATATGGTCAATGGTCAGACTTTGCTCTTACCAGGCAGAGGGCATAGCGCTTTGCTTCAGCACTCATCAATTCCCCCTTTGACACAAAAGCTTTGACAACACGATATACATCTTCACGCTTTCTGAACAATTTTGAACATTATGATGTTATTTCAATCCTATTCTTCGCAGAGCAAGTTGAAGATTTTACTTCACTTTGGTTATCCTCCAGATATTTGCATGAAACTTCAAGTTAAATGTCATTGCGTAAAAAGTAAATAAAAGATGGACCATTGCACAATGCACATATGAAAAAGCCTCTAGTATTCTATAACAAAATCTCAACAAAATAGGCTGTCCCTAACATAGGCTATGAACCACAAAATCTTGATGCCTTTATCCTAAAAGGCAATGCACCATGCCCATATTGATGCAGACCCTTCCTATTATTTGCTGATATCAAATAAACTCTAGACGGTCATAAATTTTACAGCACAATACTTCATTATATTCCGGCGAAGTACTTGCTCCCATATGCTATTTCTTTGAATACTACTTTAAACAAACTAAGTGAATATGTTATGCCACTTCAACTACAGCTATAGCATTCATAACTAGCGTATAATTCAGGCCACTAGCACATGACTGGCTCATTGACAGGTGAATCAAGTAACGGTATTACCTTGACACTCAAGAAATACTCAATTTTTTTCTTATTTTAATGCGTGCCCCTCAAAAGGTTCTCTCTTTACTGTTTAAAATTATCATATGGCAGTGGCCCACTAACTCTGCAAGAGGTAAACGAGGAGGAAATGAGCAGAAAGTGTAAAGATTAACAAACACAAAGTAGTATTTAATGAAACCTGCACATTAGAACGTGGGCATCTAATCTCCTCTCTGCTTCAGCACTTGCTTTGCGAACATCGTCTGAAGCAGCTACTAACTTTGGAAAAACACAAGATTGGACCAAGGGAAACTGTTGTCCCTCTAATTCCGCTAGAGGGAATATGGAATTTGTATAGGTGACCTGCAGAAAGGGACAGTCAAAAAAAGAAAAGCAACCAAGAACAAACAAAGAAGTTTTTTTTTTACTTTTTTCTTTTTTGGTTTCAACGTCACTGTACTGACTTTTTTCTTTATTTCTTGACAAAAGAGAACTATAAGATGTCCATACACCAATAAAGAAAGAAAGATGTGCGGAATGAAATTTCTTTTCATTTCTAGTACTGGGAATATGTGTGTCAAATAACAGAACAATTGTGTACTGACTCTATATCTGTCATTTGGAAAGTGAGCATAGAATTGCTTCAAAGAACCAAAAGAATGAGTTACTTCACGGCCAAGCCAGAGATCAGAAGTAAAAGAAAAGCTCTCCGATCCCATAAATGACGAAAATCCCAATCAAATCACAGACTTTGCAAAACCATTACTATACGCACAGTAATGAGATAAACTCAATCGTACAACACACAAATACAAGCTAAACACTCGATTTCATATCAAAAAATGTATAAATTTGGTTTCAGTACCTTTTCAAGAGGCACCGAAGCAACTGCATCGTGAATCTCCTTTGACTTTGCAATAATTTGGTCTGCCAATTTCAGAATCTCCAGCGCCGACAAATTTACACGAACCTTAGAGCCAGGAAGATCTGGAAAACACACGCGCGAATTTAGGACCAAATGACAACCGAATCGGAAGATTGGCCGCGTTTAGACAGGAGGAGAAGAAAACGAGAAGCTCGGGGAAAAAGACAAAACCTTTCTTCTTCTTGTTTTGCTTGCGGGAGTTGTAAACTTTGATTCCGAAGTTGACGGCGAGAACGAGGATCGCGGCGGCTCCGGTGAGAGCCAGAACGCTCCGTTCTCCCTTCTGTTTAGGCATTTTCTCTCGGTTTCCTTCAGTTTCCGCCATTTTTTTCTAGCTCGCCAAACGGCAATTGCGAGGGAAATTTTGTAGCTCAAGGCGGAAAAAGAAAGGCCATTGACCTATTTATATGCCAAACAAAATAATTCGATATTTAAAATTCAAATAAAAAAACGAAAAATAATATAAAAACAATAATGTCAGAGAGCTGTCCCTACCTACTGTCTTCAACTGACTCATCGCAATCAAGGCCGGGACAGCTACTCTTTGTTGCTTCAGATTTGGATTAGAAATGGACTGGGCTCAAATATTGGCCTCTCCCAAAGAATTTTTTATTTTCTTTGTTTTATATACCATTTTTTTTTTAAGTAGATGTTTATTCATAAATTTAAAATTATTTTTAATTTATGTGTATTTTTTATAAAAAAAAAATAGTATAATGAATCACGAATTATGATTCAAATTATGGCACGAATTCACTAACTAAACGCATTCACTTTTTTTTTGAAGAATACTATTTAAAGAATACTATTTAAAAAAAAAAGCATAGCTCCATCAAAAAAAAAAAAAAAAAACCTTAAGTTTGGGTTCATGTTACTAATGGTGGAGCTTTCAGTTATGTGTGACATAAATTTTCTAATTAAAAATCAATAAAATGCGGCATAAATCTGAGTTATGAAAAAGTTACAATATAGATGCAAAAGCATGTAAAAGTTATGATGTGTCACCTAATTTTCTCCTCGAAGAAAATGCTTTGGTAGTATGTTACACACCAAAGATTCTCATATAGAAGACTACACCGGAAAATATGATAAGTAGTAGTTTAGGCTTCGTTTATTTCACCATTTCGAGTTTTTAGTTTTAGGTTTTTACAGTAAAAAGCTCTCAAAAAATATCACATCTAACTTTTTTCTGCTACAGTGAAAAATTCTCAGAAAATGTCACATCTCAGCTCGAATTGAAAACTCGAATCCGCAAAGTGAACAAGTTATAAACTCTCAGGTATCCTTTCCAAGTCGAATTTTCAAGGAGACTTCACAGAATAAGAAAAATGTATCCTGCTATTATTCTATGGCTCTAAACTTCATAATTACAAAAAACAATAATGTCAGAGAGCTGTCCCTACCTACTGTCTTCAACTGACTCATCGCAATCAAGGCCGGGACAGCTACTCTTTGTTGCTTCAGATTTGGATTAGAAATGGACTGGGCTCAAATATTGGCCTCTCCCAAAGAATTTTTTATTTTCTTTGTTTTATATACCATTTTTTTTTAAGTAGATGTTTATTCATAAATTTAAAATTATTTTTAATTTATGTGTATGTTTTATAAAAAAAAATAGTGTAATGAACCACGAATTATGATTCGAATCATGGCACGAATTCACCAACCAAACGCATTCACTTTTTTTTTTGAAGAATACTATTTAAAAAAAAAAAGCATAGCTCCATCAAAAAAAAAAAAAAAAAACCTTAAGTTTGGGTTCATGTTACTAATGGTGGAGCTTTCAGTTATGTGTGACATAAATTTTCTAATTAAAAATCAATAAAATGCGGCATAAATCTGAGTTATGAAAAAGTTACAATATAGATGCAAAAGCATGTAAAAGTTATGATGTGTCACCTAATTTTCTCCTCGAAGAAAATGCTTTGGTAGTATGTTACACACCAAAGATTCTCATATAGAAGACTACACCGGAAAATATGATAAGTAGTAGTTTAGGCTTCGTTTATTTCACCATTTCGAGTTTTTAGTTTTAGGTTTTTACAGTAAAAAGCTCTCAAAAAATATCACATCTAACTTTTTTCTGCTACAGTGAAAAATTCTCAGAAAATGTCACATCTCAGCTCGAATTGAAAACTCGAATTCGCAAAGTGAACAAGTTATAAACTCTCAAGTATCCTTTCCAAGTCGAATTTTCAAGGAGACTTCACAGAATAAGAAAAATGTATCCTGCTATTATTCTATGGCTCTAAACTTTATAATTACACCACAATTTTGTCATCAAACAATGTATTTAAATTCAATGAATCAGATCAAATTCTAACAAGTTGTGAGTAGTTCTACTCTTTTTAAGGTAAAGCACTACTGATTCTCTTTTTGTTTTTAGGCCCTTGTTTTTATTCCACAAGGGGAAAGCAAATGAAGGTGGTTTGGTGCTTTATTGAGAGCTGTTGATGTTCAAAATGCTGACCAGCTTTTGGTGAATGGTAGTTGGTAGGGAGCAAATTGTTAAGTTTGTGAAAAATAGGAGTTTTTCAAAACTTGAAGATGCGTCAAGGGGGCTCTCAATAAAAATAAAAATAAAAAGAAAGAAAAAAAAAGTTTGGTTTTCCACGTTCCTGCCTTAAGGATTAGGCGAAAAAGACAACTCAAGTTTCAATTTTATTCAAGTTCACGTTCTTTTAAGTTTCAACTTTATTCAATTTTACTCAACTTTATTCAAGTTCTAACTTCAACTCAAGTTATAACTCAAATTCAACTCAAAAACTACACTCAAGTTACACTCCAAAAGAACAACCCCTTTATATTTAAAATGGTGTTTAATCAGTTTGACATCATTTTAAAAATTTAAAATATGTTTTGACTATATTTTATTTGATATTTAGATCTATTAAATGACATGTCATAATGTGATTGGTTAGATACTAATTAAAATATTAAAAATTAGTCTGGTGATTTAAGTTCAATTCACATTGCTACATAAACTTAAAAGTCATTTATGATGCAACTCTTTATTAATGAGTTATTGCCATTTATTTTGTTGATCAGTAGCTACTTCAGTTGCTTAGATGGCATCCATAAGTAGGTCTAATGCATTTAGATTGAGCGTGCCATTAGAGTGCACCTACCAATTGTGTGCATGTTTTTTTTCCTTATTCGATATGTATATCAAAAGAAAAATTGAATTATAAGTGAGTTTAACTACGTCATCGTATGCCAACTCACTTTCTAACTTTCTTTCTTCCTCTCTCTTCGAGCGATTCTCCTTCTATCGCTAGGGTTGCGACTTTTGTTTTTCCTCCTTGGGGCCGAAGTCGGCACCGCCATTTGGCTAGCCTCCGGATCTCCGGCCCTAGAGAAGGAGTCTTGGGCTTCATGGTGAGGGTCGTAATAATGGAGCCTGTCTTGTGATCTACGGAGTCGCAATGTTGCAAGACTGAGGGAATGGGCTGTCGAATATTTGAACACTGTTTTTGGTTGCATGGGAAGTTCGGTGGCTCTGCTACTCGTGGGTTTCGACCCTCTCATCACGACAATTATGGAGTTGGTGGAGGTGCGTGGAAGGATGCGGGGTGCCGAGTGGTGACGATTGCCTGTACAAAGCTTGTGGATACTTCGGTTGGTCTGTGCTTTATGGGTTTTGGTCCCCGGGTGTAGTGATAGGCTGGGCGAAACGCTTGCTTTGTTCGGTGGCCGTCGGCATCAATGTGTGAGTCTCCTTTGCCGGCGTGGTGGTAGTGCTCTTTCTAAGGTGTTTCTGGCTCCTTGCAACACTATTTCTCATGGTTCTTTTGATTGCATCGATGGGTTTGTGGTCAGTGGCTTTTTCTGCGTAGCAGGGGCTTTTTTCATTAGTTGTTTGTGTTCAATAAAGGACGTGTGTCTGTCACTGTTGTGTTCTAATTTTAGTTTTTATCGTGTAATAACAGATATGATTTATCCACTATCTGATCTTGTGTATGTGTCTAATCCATTAGAGTTATTTCTCTACGGTGTTGTGTGTGACTTTTAGTTTCTAAGTCTCTTAATCTCAGTTTATCAGAATTTCCATTGATTGTAGAAGTGTTGTTGAAAGAGCCATTTGTGTGCTCAATAATTATTGTGCATTTTTAGTTTTCCGTTGTTGGAACATATACACATTTTATCCACTTGTACGTTTCATTCGAACTTATTATTAGAACCGACTTATCGTCCGGATTAAGTCTTCTTATTTTTTGAGATCATTCGCGTCGGTATTAATGTGTGTACTTTCTTGATTTGAAATACAAATTACATTACCTTTCAATAAAAAAAAAAAGTTATTGATACTAGGGTAGATCATATATTTATACACAGCTTCATTTGATTTAAAAAATCAATTAAAGAACCAGATATGCAAACACCATCTACACGATTAGTACATTTATTATGAAGACAGAAGGATGGATTAGAACTTCGGAGTCAACAAAAATTATGAAGAATATTTATTTTTCCAAATAAATTTTATAAATTATATTGTGAAATTAAAATATAATTTGTTAGAGGTAAAAAAAAAATTGAAACGAATCAGGAGTTTGTTACTCCTCTATACTTTTATGTTTTCTACTGCTCAAAACATAAAAGAATAAAAGAATCAAATCAGAATAATAATAATAAAAAAAGTATATATGTATATATATTTATATAATAAAAGGCAGAAATTGCTTCGCTGGCGGAACACTTTCCGACCAAAACGGCACCGTTTTGATCGAAAGTGCTCCCTCTCTCTTTTTATTTTTTTCAAGTCCCTTCTCGTATTTTTTTCTTTTTACTTTAACACTTATTTATTTTCATTTTAGTCCTTTTTACCCTTTCTTTTTTTTGGAACTTTACTTTATTTTTTTCTTTTAGTTTTTTTTTTCTTTCAAAACTTATTTATTTTTTTATTTTGGCCTTTTTTGACCCTTTTTTTTTAGTTTGAAACTTTATTTTTTTTATTTGGTTTCTATTGCCCTAAAACTAATTTATTTCGTCCATTTATTCATTTTTGACTTTTTTAAAATTTTTGTCTTAAATCATATTTTTTTGTCTTTTTTTAATTTGGATTTTTGCCTTAAAACTTATTCATTTCTTCATTTTTATCCCTTTTTTTTACCCTTTTTCTACTTTTGCCCTGAAAATATTTATGTCTTCATTTTGGTCATTTTTTGTTTTTTTTAAATTTTTGTCCTGAAATTTCATTTTTCATTTTAGTTACTTTTGCCCTAAAACTTATTTATTTCTACAGTTTAGTCCTGTTTTGATCCCTTATTTTTATTTTTGTCCTAAAATTTTATTTTATTTTTAATTTTAGTTCATTTTGCCTTAAGACTTATTTAGTTTTTCATTTTGACCCCTTTTATCTCTTTTTTAATTTTGCGCTGAAATTTTATTTTTTCTGTTTTGGTTCTTTTTGTCCAAGAACTTATTTATTTCATTTTAATCCTTTTTTGGCTTCTTGCTCTAATTTTTTTATATTTTTTTGAGATTTTATATTCAAATTTTATATGTTTTGACTTCTTCGCGCCTCCCTTTTTTTTCCTTTTTTTTTTTTTTTTGAAAAGGAGATTTCTATCTGTGTTGCTTACTTGTAATCGTACTAGCTGTGATCACTTCAAAAACGATAACATGTTTAGTAGATCAACTATTATTGGCCGAAGAATACTGATAAACATTACTTCCATTGTTATTAAGTGCTATTCCATTATTCATTAGTTGATTGTTGTGGCAACCCTAATTTTTATCAAAATAATGCGATGTAAATAGACAAAGTTCAATTTTTTTCCCCCTCAAACTCTTTAACGTTTTTTTCCTATTAACTTATAATGACTAGAAATTGGATATTTACTTTTTAGAGAAAGAAAGGAATAGCATAATTTAAATAGGCAATTAAAATTAATAGCACAAGTTTTCTTAAAGGTTAGTAAATAGCATTTTTTTTAGATAAAATTAGATTTATGTAGCAATAAAATATCTAATATATCCCAGTTTGAATATCTAACATTCATTTTTTGCATATCCCCTTTCTCTCTCCTAAACCTATTTCCTTCTCTTTTTTTTCTTTTTTTTTTTTTTCTATTTTGGTTATCGGGCCCTTTATGATGGGCCTGTAACCCTCTTAGACCCATGTTTTGGGACTGGGCCTGGGAGGTTTTGGAGAGTACGCATACGACATCCTTTCATTAACAAGAGGCGGGAAGTAAGAACCCCAGTATTTTTTGTCCCGGCCAAGCAAAGCTCATAGGACGGAGGTGGTGCCTTTTTTTTTTTTTTTCCTTCCATTCCATTATTTTACTTTTTCCATATTATTCTCTTTTAGATTTTTTAAGTGAATGGTTTTTCCTATTATCTGGGGTTAGAATTTTGTTGTCGTTGTTATATATAGGGAAATTGTGCTGAGTGATTTTTTTTAACATCTCTTTTCATAAATGGCCGATTTTTATTTTATTTTATGAAAATAGTTGTTTTGTTAAATGAGTCATTAATGGGATGTTTAGTTAATGGGTTCAAAATTATGATTTATGATTCTAATTTTTAAATTTTAATTTTTTTGTGAGAAAAAAATACTGTAAAAAATTAAGAACCATGATTCAGAACCAGGAACGAACCTTTAAAACAAACATCTCATAAATGATTTACTAATGGATCACAGTCAATCAGTGATTGACCTCATTATTAATTTATCATTAATAAATATATAATTTATTGATTAAAATTGATTTTGATTAATTATTAAGTAGTGTCGATTAATAATAAAAAATAATCGAGTTAATCAATAATAAATTAGAATCAATCATGATTGACTGTTAAGTCAATTAATGATTGAACCACTAAGTTAATAAAAAATGTCATTTTTATAATTTTATAAAATTTTGACTATTTATGAAAAATATCCGTCAAAATAGGTTATTTTTGCTTAAATATTTATGTATATATATTGGTTCAGTTTTTTTAAAAAACCGTGATGACTCTTCAAATGATGGGGCCAAACACTTGCTTGCGTACACTGGCAGTAAGCGGATTGCAAATTTGCAATATAGTTTTGTAGTACAAAAATGTGAAAATCATTATTATTATTATTATTATTTTGAGGGGTCATTGTTATAATTATTACATAATTATGTTATTTTAAAATATTCAAATATTGTTGTATTTCAATTTCACTCTTACAAACATATCATGTAGGGTGGAGTAATTTCTACTTTTTTTTCTTTTAATTATGTAATTCTTGTTATTCAAGGGAACATAAGAAAATGCCAAATTGGTATTCTTTCGTCTAAGCTTAAAATAAAAATAAAGAATGCTAAATGCAAATTCTATTACGAATGCTATCTTATAATTATGACATGTCTCATCTTTATTTTCTCTACCAAACAACACTTGACAATAGCTTACATTTTTAAACCATATTTACAAGGTTCCATCTCTTCTTGTTTGTAATGACTTTACTGCGGAGCCGAACGATGGTGAATAATCCTTGCCTTGTGAATTATCTGCTACATTGTAATAATCTTTGCCTTGTGTTCATTTAATAATCAAATAAGTAAACACCATCCACTCAATTTGTTCATTTATTACCCTACAAATATTAGAACATTTATTATGCAAGAGAGAATGATGGCTTGGAACTTGGAAGTCTACGTTAACGGTAAAGAATATTATTTATTTTTTTTACAAGACAAATGGTACTCATATTTTATTTTTATAAAAAGGAAAGTTCATTACTAAAAAGAAAAAAATACATACTCAACATGTCGCAAATGACCTCGAATATAATAGAATTCGACCCGAATAACTGGATATATCAGTAAAAATAATAATGCATATAGATACTCAAAGGGAAAAAGCTTAATCAGCACATAAAAATTGAGCATAGTCAAAGCTATTTGAAAGTGACCAAACAGTTGATGGATTAATCCGGTCGACTGAGACCAAAGCACTCATATAGGGGATATCTACGCGGCATAAACTAATCAGACCAAACAACCCACACAGGCGGTGATCGACTTGACTGAGTGGGGGACATCACGAACACTAGGAGGTGTTGGAAATTACCACCTCCTTTATTATTAATACACCATAAATAAAAATAAACACATAATATAAAAACAAGACTAAACACAAGTCCATAGCGGGGCCTCCACCGCGAACCACATATATGAGATCTCCCGACGCCATCTACCGTGAAGCCTCAGCCATCCAACTCCATCCACCTGCCCATCGAAGAGCATCAGCGGTCCCAACTTGGCGAATACCACGCACCCTCACTCAGCAGCCTGAACCTAACCACAGCCACAGTTAGGTCCCTCAACATCGACATCAAGCGGACGACGACCAAACCCTACCAACCCGCAACAGATCCAAGTAGCCCAAAACATTCCATCCACCCTCTGACCCTGCCTAATTATGGAGGAGATCCGAGTCTCCCACGACCACCTCGGACAACAATGCTTCGTCCATCAATAGTCTCATCACCAGTATTTTGCTAGAGGAAACAAAATCAATAATTTATTACCACTTTTATGTTCCCTTTTCAATTTTTGAGATTATTATTTTATTTTATTTATTTACTTTTGAAATCGAAATTTTAAAGAGTTTTAATCGGGCTTCACAGATTAGCGGCCTAATCAGAATCATAGGTCTCTTGCCCAATAAGCAGGGCTTAATGGGCTAGCTACGCGAGGAGACATTCGGTTTTATACTTGAAAGAATGTAGTAAATAACAGATTTATAAAACTAAATTAAGTACGGTAGATTTTAAAACTATTTGATATAACAACAATTTTCATGATAAATGATATATTTACCATATAAATAGTTCATTTACGACTAGTAAATACATTTTTTCATGTGAATTTCTTGTTACGATTGGTAAGAATAAAATTTTCACGTAAATAAAATTTTTTTAAGATTTTTTATTAATTGTAAATGAATTATTTACATCACGTAAATAACTATTTACTTCAAATAATTTTAAAATTTATTATTTACTTAATTTAATTTAAAAAATATGTAATTTACCGCAATTTCTCTTCAACCCGAAGCCCAACTTGACCCGATAAGAAAAGCGGGTTTGACTGCAATGTCCCAGACTCCCGGCCCGCAGGCGGCCGAAAGTCTGTCTAATATCCCCGTACACATATTTTCTCAGTTCCGTTTGGTAATCGAGAAAATCGACAAGCAAAGCCATGGCTCCGAAGCCCAAAGAGAAACAGAAACCCTCACCGGTGCCGGCGCAGCCTCCCCCTCCTATCGAAGATCTCTTCGATTCTCTCAACAAGCACATCCAGAGATCCGAATTCGAACAAGCCGTCAAAGTCGCAGATCAAGGTTCCATTTATAGTCGTTTTTCACTTCTCTTCAACACTTCAACTTTTCCTCTTGTCCTCTTCTGAACTTTCTTTTTTGGATCTTCGCGTGAATTATTTTGGAGAAATTGATCTGTTTTTTCATTCGCAGTTCTCTCAATTGCCCCCGGAGACGAGGACGCGATTCGATGTAAGGTCGTGGCTTTGATTAAGGCCGATAGCATAGATGAGGCGCTTTCCGCAATTAAGGTCTATCAGAAGCCTCCACTGGATTTCGGCTTCTTCAAGGTTGGTAGCTTTAGGATTTTTTCCCCCCGATTATATACACCTGCAATAGATTTGTGTTGCTTCCGATGGATTAATATATCATTGTTTAGGGAAAATTTTGAATTTTTTGTTTTTTTTTTTTGGGTACACTTCGATTCTGAATGTGGACTGGGATTCTATTGATACGATACAATTCTGTAATACTGACGGGTTAATGTACGGTGTGAACAGTGACCACTAATTTTACGGGCATAATTCGGTGTATGCACTATGCATGTAGTTTTCCTTATTGCCGTAATTTAGCTCACACTTTGATTGAGATTGCCTCGGCAAAATTCTTAATTGAATTGATGATTTGATATCTTGTGACTATAGAAACCAAAATTTCCATAACCAAATAATTATGAAATATTAGGTAGCAACAGTTTAGCAAATCGTCTGTATGTGTTCCTAAGTATGTTAATTTGTGTTGGAAGATTGTTTTCAGATGTTTTTTTAATTTATTTTTATTTTTACGAGCATAGTAATTTCAATGTAGTTGAATGGAATGCCTCTCTTCATTTGAACTTCTGTTTGATTTTTTTTTTTAAAAAGACCATATTTTTTTATAGTGAAAAAAAAAAACCATCTTTCGATACATCCAGTTCACTTTGTTTAGTTTGGTCCTAATATGAATTTAAATTGCTTTTAGTACCACAAAAGTCATAATCTTTTTAATTAAATTTGGCGATTTTCCCTTTACCTAGATCTATTTAAGTACTCTCGTGTGTATGTTTGACTCTGTACAACAATGCAGAAACATGCATATTGGTATCTTATTGATGTTTTGTTCCTCTCCTTTGGTCCCTGAATAGGCATACTGCTTATACAGACAAAACAAGTTAGATGAATCTCTGGACTCTCTGAAAAATCAAGAGAGAAATTCCGCAGCAATGTTGTTGGAATGTCAGATACTATACCGCTCAGGAAAAATGGATGCTTGTATGGATATCTATCAGAAGCTTCAGAAGTCCAAGATTGACTCTTTGGAGATAAATTATGTGGCTGGCTTGGTTGCTGCAGGAAGGGCTTTAGAAGTACAAGGTGTGATGGAGGCACTAAGGGTTAAAGCAACTAGCAGCTTCGAATTGGCGTTCAACACTGCCTGTTCTTTGATTGAGAGGAATAAGTACACCGATGCTGAACAACTCCTGCTGTCAGCCCGGAGGTAATATTCTTTATGGAAACTTGCTATATTCTACTTGCTGAGTACAAATTATTTTTTTACGGTAGTTCTTCAGTTTTCTTTTTAAGGAGCTGTATTTTTATCTTATTAGTTCTCAGCTTTACAGAGTACTCCCTAGCGTTTGCAATACAAGTATTCACAATAAACGTGTGTTAGTTTACCAATTCATCCCAAAAGCTTAAGCTGTTAGGAGGTGGGCCAACAATAGTTTTATACTTTAACACTCCCCCTTACGTGTGGGCTGGACAATGGGCAATCGTGTGGGTAAATTAATTGGAAAACCCAACACGTGAATATTTAAGCCCGAGATATATTAAAAACCCAACACATGATGACAATTTTAAATGGGGATAAAGAGTGCAATTACGGGGGTTTGAACTCAGGACATCCCGCTCTGATACCATGTTAGTTTACCAATTCATCCTAAAAGCTTAAGCTGTTAGGAAGTGGGCCAATAATAGTTTTATACTTTAACAACGTGTGGATTGATGACTTGCGTGTCTTTTGTCAGAATTGGTCAAGAAACCTTAATGGAAGAGAACATACCTGATGATGAGATAGAAATAGAACTGGCACCAATTGCTGTTCAGCTGGCCTATGTTAAGCAGGTAATTGTAATAGTCAATGACTCAACTATGCTGCTTAGGTACTATTATAGTGTTGAGGGAATTTCTTATAGCTTTTACTTTGCTGAGCTGGGGTAATTCAATAAACATAAATTTATTTTCTATTTTTTTGTTTTTGTATATTTTAACAGCTCCTTGGGCATACACAAGAGACCACTGCAGCTTACACAGACATAATAAAACGAGATCTGGCTGATGAATCGTCACTTGCAGTGGCTGTGAACAATCTCATTTCAGTAAAAGGTCCAAAAGATGTTTCAGATGGTCTTAGGAAATTTGATAGGCTAAAAGATAAAGAGATACAAACATTTCAGCTTGCCCGTGGTCTTGATTTAAAACTCTCACCAAATCAACGGGAAGCAATATATTCAAATCGGATACTTTTACTCCTCCATGCAAATAAGATGGATCAGGTTGTTCCACTTGCTCTTTTGAGTACCTTTTGTTTTTTATTTTCTTTAAAATAAAAAATTCTGTAGTGCTCTTGCTGTTGTTTCTAACTCTTTAAAGATTAAAAACTATAGGCTCGAGAGCTTGTTGCTGCACTTCCAGAAATGTTTCCTGATTCTGTGATGCCAGTACTACTTCAGGCTGCAGTTTTGGTCAGAGAAAATAAAGCTGGGAAAGCTGAAGAAATCTTAGGGCAGTTTGCTGAGAAGTTCCCTGAGAAGTCCAAGGTTGTTCTTTTAGCAAGGGCACAGGTAGCTGCTGCTGCCAGCCATCCTCAAGTTGCTGCTGAGTCCTTGGCTAAGATACCCAATATTCAGCACATGCCTGCCACTGTTGCCACCCTTGTTTCTCTCAAAGAGCGTGCGGGAGACATTGATGGTGCGGCTGCTGTGTTTGATGCTGCAATCAAATGGTGGTCAAATTCCATGACAGAGGACAACAAGCTTAGTGTAATAATGCAAGAGGCTGCTTCCTTCATGCTCAGGCATGGCCGAGAAAAGGATGCTGCCCAACTATTTGAGGAGCTTGTGAAAAGTCATGGAAGTGTTGAAGCATTGGTTGGACTGGTAACTACTGTTGCTCGTGTGGATGTTAGCAAAGCAGAAGCTTATGAACAGAAGCTGAAACCATTACCGGGAGTGAAAGGGGTTGATGTGGATAGTTTGGAGAAAACGTCTGGGGCTAAACATGTTGAGGGTGCTTCTCATGATAAGGTTGCTGAAGCACCCGAGGAGGGGAAGAGTAAAACAAAGGCAAAGAAAAAGAGAAAGAGAAAGCCAAAGTATCCTAAAGGCTTTGACCCTGCAAATCCAGGACCTCCTCCAGATCCCGAAAGGTGGCTCCCTAAGAGAGAGAGGTCAAGTTACAGGCCCAAAAGAAAGGATAAGAGAGCGGCTCAGGTGAGAGGCTCACAAGGCGCGGTAGTTAGAGAAAAACACGAAGCTGGTCCTGCTGGTGCCAGCTCCAGTGCTGCGAATTCAAAATCAAACCAAGCTACTACATCAAAAGGAGCCTCGCAAAATTCATCCTCGGAACAATCCAAGCCTCCTAGATCATCAAAAAAGAAGTCTAGGAACTAATGGGGAGGGTTCCTTACTTTTCCCTCTCTTTTTTTTCTTTTAGCACACTTGGCATTTTTGCAGATTTTGCATTAGTTAATTACATTTGTTGTTTTCTTTAGTTACTGGCTCGCAGATTTTGTAGTTCATCTTCGGCCTTGCTGTTCACTTGTATTCGAACCAATTAGATCCAGCCGGTATTTACTGTTGCTTTTGTCGTTTTTATGGTATTCAGTTTACATTCTGCCAGGAAAATTGGAACTTGGAAGTCTGGGATGATAAACAATTGATATTGTTTGTTGAGGGAGCAGAAAAAAAGGCTTAATTTATGATGTAGACTCTTTTCCCTCATGTGGTGCGGATAATGCTAACTTCCTATTTATGCCTCGTGTTTAATTTTTTTATGCAATGTGCTACTTTGAATGCGACAATCGACTAGTTCTTGATGCATGGCTGCTACATAGATGTTGTTGCCTGGCCTACGCGATTTGGCCCATGTTGGTGTGGGATGGCTTTATTACACCCAAGTTAGCTCACCTTGCATTAATTTTTTTTTTTTAAATTGATATTTTTAAGGAGTTAGCTCACCTTGCATTAATTTTATTTTTTTTTTAAAAAAATTATTATTTTTAAGGAGTTAGCTTACCTTGCAGTTGCACATATTCTTTATCCCACAATGTTACCTGGCCGATTCCCCGGCAGTGTCATTTTCATATTTTTAACATTTCTTTGGTAGGATATGAAAATAATACTCTACACATAGTACACGGCTTTTAAAAAAATATTATGATAATTCAATAAAATTCACAACTTTACCACTAAGGCATTTCCTTTTCCCGTGCCTTAGCATAGAAGTCTCTAGGTTTTTTATTTTATTTTATTTTTTGTGCTTGAAAGTCTCTAGTTTTTTATAGTTATTTTGCTTTCCTTTAAGCTATGTACAAAGGTAGCTCTGTCGGCAAGAGAAGGGTGTACTATTTCTGTTATAGATGTTAGGTGACGTTTGGTAAGGGGATTCGTACTCTGATTCGAATTATCGTTCATGATTCGCTACAGTATTTTCTCTCACAAAAAATACACGTAAATAAAAAATAATTTTAATCTCATGATTCTAATCCATGAACTAAAGGTTAAACTATGGCCAGAGGTAATTGTGAGTGTGACTTTCCTGTGATTGAAAGGTTTTTTTTTTTCTCAGAAAAAAAATAAAAATATATATTTAAAAAAATATGTAAGAAAATGTAAGGAAAGGAAAGGCATTTTAGGATATGTTTCTTTTCTTTGACCACAAATAGTTCATTGACCTTGCCTTCAAGGGTTACTTTAGCATAGCTTGTTCTTTCATAAGAAGTCCCAGTTATGACGAATTCTAAGGGTATCGACCACTCCCGGCGAGGCACAAGAACTTATTCTCCTTAAAAGCATAGTATATTCTTAACAAGATTACGGTCTGTTTGTATAAAATATTCCCATCTTAATAATAGCCAACTAATTCATGGGTACAAAAGAGAGACATTTCTAATCATTTGGTAATATGGTTGGATTGTCAAGGACAATCGAGGAGTCTTTTTTGTTTTTTTTTTCTTTATCATTATTGTTATTGTTATTAATATTAATATTAATATTAATATTATTACTATTACTATTATTATTATTATTATTATTATTATTATTATCATTTTGAGAGATGGTGGGACTTCGGGGGCAAGCAACCATTTCCATTAATTATCATTCAATATGGTTTTGTTACATTTGGTGAGTAGGTAGATTAGAATTTGTTCTTTCTATTTATATAATTTTCAAACCCCACTTTCCTACAAATCACCTCCCGAGAGAGAAAATTTGAATGCAAACAAAATAAGGGGAATAGAAAATGGGCAGTTTTTCACTTTGGTTATTGGATTCGGATTATTCTTGATAATGTCAAAGCCACCCAAACCCAATCAAATGAGCTTGAGCCATTGAAAGTGGGGTCATCTCTGACCCTTTTCCTATTTGCCACAAAACACAAACCCAATTGCGACTCCAACAGGTAATGACACGTTCACACCCCAATCTCTTTCTCAAATCACCGCGGGATTGTCCCTTGACATTTTTGAGTTAGAGTAATTTGAGTGATAATTTTTAGTTGAGTTTAAGTTATAACTTGAGTTAAAGTTGTAACTTAAATTTGTGTTTAGGTGTGCACATTTGAGTTATGATTTGAATTGAGAATCTTTTTGAGTTTGTATTTGAATGGGTCAAAACTTAAATTTATATTTAGATAATATTTTAATAAAAACTCAGTGGTGATGAAAAATTTTAATAGAGTGTATGAGTGGGATTTTATTCATCTTTTCGTTGTGAATGCATAGAAAAAATCATCTCAATCAGAATTAAAACAACAAAGTTATGACATTTTTAAGAATAGAAAAAATATTGTTCATTAACTTGAGTTCGAGTTTAAGTTGAAGGGGAAACTTGAACTCGAGTTTAGTCCCAAACTCGAGTTCAAACTCAAATTTTACAAAAGAAACATGAACTTGAATAAAATTATAATTCGAATTAAAATTTTTTTTTTAGTTTTGTTGTAAAATAACAACCCTCACAATTCTACACATGGGTGATAAACATTTTTTTCTTTAATATTTTAGAAAAAAATAATCAATGAAATTTTTTTTGATTGAGTATAAAAAACCTTGCAGTAGGGTTATGTTTTGAACGGTCACATCTACGGTTAACGTTATGTTTTGTTAGTTTTATATATTTTTTAATTTAATGAGATTTTAATAAAATTTAATTATCGATAAAAAACTCTTAAAATAAATCATTTTTTACTATACTTTATTTTTAAAAAATAAATTAATAACTCGTGTTTTTTATGGACATGTTGATGTTTGTATTGTCTTTTTATATTACACAACATATTTTTCTCCCTCTTTTTTTTTAATAAAAAAAGTTACGCATTATTCTAAAATAAAGACTTCTGGTTCAAGTCATTTTCAAAAAAAAAAAAAAAAAGACTTCTTGCTCAAGTCAAGTTGTTTAACACGAGTACGAAACTTTATATATATATATATATGTAAATATTTACATAAATGAATATAGACAGGACTTTCTATAATTACCTATAACGTTATTAAAATTAATTAATCCACGTCACTAATTCATGGATCAAGATCTAACGAATGTCAATGAAAACTTTAACCTACATTGTTTCCTTTTTTTTTTTTTTGAGAGGATGTAAACAAATTATTAGTCTTGCATGGCTTAGCTAAGAGACATATAAATATATAAATACATATACATATTTTATTTTTGGGAAGCATGAATTTATCGAATAAATTAGTGGTGGGGAAATGAATTCTCTCTTTTTTTTTTTTTTTTTTTTTTTTCTTAGGCCAGGGAAAGTACTTTTCTTTGGAAAACGTGTACTATAGCGGAATATAAATAAAAGGAGTTCCTTCTTCTCCCGCCACAATGCCACATCTTGTTGCGAAGAAGAAAAGTAACTTTCCTTAACTCTGCCACGTATCCTCGTTTAACTTTAGCACTTGGATTTTTTTTTTCTATTTTTTTTTTTACAAAATAGTTGTAATAAAAACTATAATTTTCAATATTAATAGGAAATATATACTTGCTATAAAATCATAGTGTACATATTTTTTAATTAAATTTCGTTAAATTCACATCTTTTAATTTTCTATGGTTTTAACGGTGATATATATATATAATTTTACCTTGTTTGCAAACCCTTTTAAAATAGGGAATTTGGACATTATAATATCTCTAATATATATTAATTATAATTATTGTATTAATTGTAAATTTAATATTTAAGTTATTTATTGTGTTAAATTTTTCATATATTATACTTTATGATAAATTTTCTATCAAGTAGAGCATATGAAAAATTTAGCATCAATAGCTTTGATTAAAATGTTTATTTTTTTATAAAATCATTACAACTTTTGTATTTTTTAATTATTTTAAACATAAAAATTTACTTTTTTACAACTTTTAAAATTTAATAATTATAAAAAATAAATTTAACATTTTAAATAGTATTATATATTAAAATAAAAATAAAAAATTATATTACATCTTTTAAAAATAAATATTTAATTAACATTAATTAAAAATCGTTTTACAGCCTTGTCTTTTTTTCTTAGTTTTTTTTTTTTGTTTTTAATACATTCTTATACAGTCGTAATTATATATCTATTATTGGATTTTCTACGCTTACAAAATATTAATTTACAAATATATATTATATATATTATATATATTATATATATATGTGTGTGTCATCTCGCCCAATTTCTCTCTCTCTCTCCTCTTTTTTTCCCTGAACTCGATCGACAGGCTCTCACCTCTCTTCGGGTCGAATTTCCACCAGGGAAAAAGGAACCCCAAAAAAAAAAAAGGAAAAAAAAAACTAAAAAACCTCGCGAAGAACAAACATACCCTAGAAAATTAGAAATCTCCAATCCAATTCCAAGAGGTCGCAGAGAAAAGCTTCTTCTTTGCTATCAATCTGTTCATGCGAGGATTCTTCGGCGCCAAGAGGCAGGCTCACGCCGTCGATTGCGTTTATTTCAATTGAAATTAGGGTTTCCTGGTAATCGATTTTACATTTCGATTTTGCTTATCTTTGATTTTCTCCACTTTATTCGATCCGTTTCTCGTTGTTCTTCGTGTTTTTCTGTCCCCTGCAAACCCTAGTTTTTTGTTTCGTTAGGTTAGAGGAGGAAAAAAGAGAAAAGAGGCAAAAAAAAAAGAACTCAATTCTTTGATTCTTTATTGTGTATATATAGATTGGATTAGGCTTTCAGTTTTTTAGGTTTCTTTTCCAGTCTAGCTATTTTTAGGTTCTTTTCAAGAAGCTCTGTGAAATTTTTGGTGCGTTGTTTTAGTTTGTCATCCGAAATTGAGGGTTTTCTTGGTAGATCTTCCACAGAAATTTCCTTTTTTGTGCCTTTTTTTCCTTCTTTTTTTCCCCCTCTTTACAATCACTCCTTTTGTCCTTCGTTTCTCTTTTAGACAAAAAGAAAAAGAAAAAAAAAGGAAGAAGAAGTGTTGAGAAATCTAGGGTTTCGTGTTAGATTTTCTGGGGAAGGATTCGGTAGAGTGTAGATACGATGGCCTTGAATTTTTCTCATCGGCCTGTCTTTCCGGGGCATCTCTCTGAAGAGAATTTGGTCTCGCCGATCCGAATTGCGAACGGGTGCTTCCTGGAGGGTATCCCGGAGAGGAATCACGACGGCTTCGGTAGCCCGTGGCATTCAAATTGGGAAGTTGAGAATCCCTTTGATTATGGGAGGGACAGATTTGAGAGTGGTGGCTCACAGGAATCGGTATCGAGCGACATTCTTGATCTTCTGCCTTCGGATCCCTTTGGCATGGATATAAGTACTACTTTCACTGCTATCACGGGTTGGCTCGAGGATTTAGAGGTGGACTACTGCGGATATGGAGGGGATGAGGCTGTGGCGAGTGATGGGGGCTATCAGCTTTTTGCGGAATTGAATTTTATTTTGAATAATGCCATGAGGTGCCAGGCTTTCCCTGCAAGTGCAGAGGTTGATGATAAATGTAATGTTGCAGTTGGGTTTGGTTGGTCTTCTGTGGAGGAGGACAAGGCTGGTGCATCTTGCCTTGCTCATTTTGGATCGGGTTCTGCTGAGAATAGCACTCCGAGTATCGGGAATGGAAGTTGGGGTGTCGAAAGCGGGCAAAGTGAAGTTTCTGGAGATGGTAATGGAATCTTTTCCAATGAAGATGGAGGAGCTCCTCACGGCGGTTTGCTCTTTGCCCTCGGGCACATGGGTGTGCGTAATCTTCTTGTTCTTGAAAGCGTATGCAGATCTCTGCAATCGCAGATTCGTGGTGATCCCTTTTTGTGGACGACTATTCACATTGAGCAGCCTTTGAACGAGAAGCTTACTGATGACATTCTTTTGCACTTAACCAACAAGGCTCAAGGTAATCTAAAATGCTTGAGCCTGGTGGAGTGCCCCAGGATTACTGATGATTGCCTGAGACGCGTGCTTGAAAGTAATCCTAAGCTAACTAAGGTCAGTATTGCCTTTATTTCATCAACTTTTGTTCCCAGCCTTTTAATTCCTGTTTGCTGCTGCGCAACGAGTTTTTTTTTTTATCTATGTAATTTCGTGGGTGTTTTATTCTGATTGTCATTAAACATATTAAATTTCGGACTGTGTAAAAAGCTGCGTAACTAACTTGCCTTGTGGAGCTCCATTGCTGACTCCTTCCCCTTTACACTTGCTATGTTGGTTAACTGGGAATTGGTAATACTCAAAACTCTAATGAAGTCTATTGGCGGTGTTGTGTGTTTCCAAGTAATAGAGTTTCTTAATTAATTTGTTTAAAGCCCAGTAGCACCATGGGAACCTTTGGTAAATTCACTGAACTATCTGATCTTTGCATTTTCCTCAAGGCACACTCTTCAGTTTGCTCTCATTTTCTTTGAGCACGGAATACTTTACTTGTTTCGTTTGTGCCAAACGCACGTATTTATTGTGATAGGAAGCTGATGAATACTTTCTTTATTTTGCAGTTAAGCGTGCCCGGATGTACAAGGCTCACTATCGACGGCATCATGAATAGCCTAAGGGCTTTCAACTCCTCTGGAGCACAGGGTGTGAAGCATCTACGAATTGGTGGGATCTATGGTGTGACACCCAAGATTTTTGAAGAGATGAAGTTATTGTTGGGCATCGATGACAAGACGCAGCAGAGTGCCCGGAAACCACGTTTCCATGTAAGAGGAAGCCTTGACCTTCCTAACGATGATGATCGTTATATCGACATCGAAACGTGCCCTAGATGCCAGAACCATAGGCTTGTTTATGATTGTCCGGCTGAGACTTGTCAAGGGAAAGATCATGCTATTCAACTGTGCAGGGCTTGCACACTCTGCATACCACGTTGTGTTAAGTGCGGTAGGTGCATTACCGACAACGAGTATGAGGAAACATTTTGTCTGGAATTGCTTTGCTTTATCTGTTGGCATGAGGTGGAGAAGTTGGAAGAGAATCAAGATTCAAAGGTTGATCCGATTCCGTCCGAGTCTGCCGTTCCAGTTGAACAAGATCATGCCTTTTCTTTTCATGGCTAGAGACCGATTACCTGTACAGGCCCGTCGGTTTCAAGTTATGACTCGCGAAATGGCATACTTTGGTCGGTTATTCAGACACCCTTTGGAAGGAAGGGAAAAAAAAGCACCATGTTGGATAATGTTTTATTGAACCTCTTAAGTCACATGACTGCTGTTGGGTCATTGTGAAAAAATAAAAAGAAAATTAAAAAAAGAAGAAAAATTCAAAAAAGAAAAAAAATTGGCTGAAGACGAATGCTAGGAGCTAGAGAAGTGTTATAAGGTTTCTGCTAGCAGTGCCCAGAGAAAGGATCTTTGCTTCCTGGTGGTTCCTTTGCTTGGCTCTGACACGATTGGAATCTAATGGAGGTATGTTTTTTGGCTTATAATTTGCGGTGGTGTCGAGCTGGGATGTAATTATGACCTACCTGCAATAGCGACACTTGGAGTACTATATTTGTGATGAAGCAGAAAGTGGAAAGATGATCTGTCTATTGTTTGTCTTACGCGTGGTCATTGAATAAAGAGCTCATTTATTTGTTGCCTGCCTGCTTGGGAGATGAATTGGTGATTACCCTTTCATTCCATTATACTATGCAGCTGTTTGTGTTATACTATGCAGCTGTTTGTGTTATTAAGTGTACACTTGGAGCACTAAAACTATGTGACTCAGACGGCAGACTTGTGTCTCTATGTTCACAGTTCAGTGTTTCTCCAGTTTTATTAATGAGTGTTTTCTTTGTTCCGACTTTTACTTTATGATGTAAACTATTATTTTTTACCTTCCACGGTCATTGCAATGTGTTGTACCACGTGTTTACTTTTCCCTGAGTGGATTTTGCCTGGTCCCTGTTATGGCCGTGGCAGAAAATGCTTATAATTTGCTATATTCATCTCCGACCTCTGTATGTGTGTGTACGTGTATATAGGAATACACGTGTATGTTGTATGTAAGAAAAGAATGTGTGGGTGTGTAAACATTCGATATGTATTTGTGTATATATGTTGGTGTGCGGAGTTAAATGAATCACTATGTAAAATCTGTAGTTATGTAGCGAAAAGAAAATAAATAAAAAAAATAAAATCTTGTAGTTAGCAAAATTGAATGATTTTCTTTGAATTGTTCGTGACATTATTTTCATTTATTACTGATGAAGGGATGAGAGTCATTCGAAACATGTGTTTCTATCTGTAAAGTAATGAAGTCAAAACTTGCGATTACTTGTATTCAAAGTGTTGATCTTTAACAATCTCATATTAATAAGAGAATTTGATGGTCTAAGCTCTGCAAATTTTCCTCTTTAGGCACCAAAAAAAAAAAAAAAAAAAAAAAAGAGGAGGAAAAAGAATTTTCTTGCATTAAAAAAAAAATTCATTATATTAATCTAGTGGCATGTTTATTTATCAAGAGTGGAAAATGAGAATTGAGAATTGGAATCAACTTTATATTTATTTTCCATTTTTATCTTTGAATGAGAGTATGAATGTGTGGGTCCCACACCGGTTGAGGAATGGGATCACCACTCCCTCCACCTCTACCGGATTGGCATTCACAATTTTGATAGTAAATGTGAATTACGATTTTTTCCTTAATTTTACTAACAAATTAGAGTCTTATTGATGTGCTTTTCACGGCTGACAAGGATTTAGTTGGATTACAAGCCAACTTGTATTAAGAAATGATGAAAATTGATTGATGCCACTAATATTTTGACAACGAAGCATTATTTACTACGTGTATTCTATAACATTCTGGATCTAACTCAAGAAATGATACATCCTTAAAATTCTTAGTCGTGGTTTAAGTGGTCTTATTTTATTTCATCATTATATTTTTTTCTTTAAATTATTTCAAAATTTATTGAGAAAAAATAATTTAAATGATTAATTAAGTGCGATTAAAAAAAATCTAATTATTAATTAGTTATCTTAATATTAAGATAGTTAGCATAATATATATATATATATTTTTTTTTTTTTTAAAGTTCAATACATAAAAATCTATTAAAATGGTAGGTAAGTAAATTTATAACAGTTATTCCGATTCTGAGTGTAAGTAAACACATGAATGAGATTGAGACTGATTCTAATTTTAATTCCTGAAACATAAGTAAACAGCTTATTCTGATTCCGATTCCTGACTCCGATTCTTGTCCACTCTATTCACTCCGATATAAATAAATCCGCCGCCATATGTTACAATAATACAATACAATATAGTGTCTCTTAATTCTTAACTATTGTGCTCATTAACGTAGCAAATAGCAATTCGTGCATTGTGCTTTGGTTCAAATTGCAGATCTATTAAAAGAAAACAAATGTTTTCATTGTCATAGTAAAGAGTAGTAACTTCTGGATTTTTCCGCTTAGGTTTGCCCTCCAAGCAAACATGAGATGGGCATGGGCAGCATTTTTCGCTCGAGTTCTCAAAGGCAAATTGGAACAAACATTCACCAAGAATTTTAAGCCGTGATAACATAATGTTCTATGCCATTGAATCAACATCTTCCTCGGATACAACATTATAAACAACCGTGTCATCAAATTTAGCAGAGGAAAAAAAAAAGAGAAAAAACAAAAGAAAACAATGATAAACCAGACGCTTTAATGCAAGCAAGACCATTCAAAATTTTTTGCCCAAAGTGCATTATGCAAGAAAGAAAAAAGAAGAGGTTCTCTCAAATTTATGCTTATCACTTTTGAGATTTCCTCCGGAGCTCTTTTATCCATTTGAAACTTAGAATTGATTTTCCGAACTTACTCTTGGACCCATCTTTTTTCTTCTTCTTATCATCCCTTGGTGCTTCTGGTGGAGGGTCAGAATTGTAGTCCCATTGATCAGCCCATGACAACCCAGAATTCATCACTAATCTGTTCCTTTTTTTCTTTTTTTCCCTGTCACTTTTGCATTTCTTGGATTGCAGAGATATCTTAATATATTATTTACTATTTTAACTAAATGTTGCGTTCATCATTTTCTTCTATTTGACTTGAGAAGGCGGTTGGTTTAAAAGTTGGCCAGTTCGATTACCAGTTTTAGATACTTGTCCTTCCAAGTCATTTGCTTATTTTAGCTCAATTTCCTTTGACTAATTTAGTCTTGTATGCTTCATTTGGACAAAGAGAGTTAATTTACTAAAAAAGTTTCTTCCTTTTGGACCTTTGATAACAACCCATGCCCTTCACGAAACCTATGGTTGACTGAATCTCTATAGCTTAAGCCAAGTTTAGTCCGTCCGTACATCTATGGCCATCCTAGACCTTATATTCAGTCGCAACCTTTCATGCATTTATAGACTGGCCAAATATAAAAAAGATGATGCTAATTTACCATCCTAATATTTTAGGAAGAACTAAGAATGCTCTTCTCTAAGTTGTTTACTTGTTTCCTTGGACAATTGACACATAACTTAAATATTGCATTCATGTATTTAAAATCTTTGAGCAATATTAACTTAAGAAAATACAAAGTAACATTGTGAAATCCTCCATGAATGAGAAAAGAAGATTGAGATTCCTATATAAACCAATTGATAATTAATCAAAAGGAAGGGTCACAACATGGGATGAATTGACCCACATTTTCACTTGGGGCCATTATGATCCATAAAATTCAACATGACCGGCTATCTCCCTACACAACAACTTTGCCTCACCCGCTAACTTGATGCTTTTGAAAGTGGCAACCCCTGTCAGTTTGTGGGTAGAAGTCGGCTTATAAGACTTGGCTTCTTCTTCCCTCCCCAGCGACAAGGCCTCCCTAGCAGGAACAACATTTTCCCACCAAAACTCACGCAAAATCCCGTGCATCAACTGCCAGTAGCTACGATCCCGACACACACGAAATATGGTACTCCCATTTGGTGTCCAACAATACAAGTCAAGCCAATCTCTGTCCATTATCTCCATTTGACCCTGAACCTGAGGCATGTAATAAAAAGGCATTTTAGTCCAAGGAAGACCCATCTCAGGTTTCCCCTTGTTATATGGACACTTCACTTCCAAAATCCCACCACCCTCTTGCAAGCAACTGAGCAGACCATCAGGAGAGGCACCGAGCCAACCAAACCGTTCCTCAGCATGAATCGCGAACCCAAGTGAGTTAACTTCACGACCGGTAATGCTTTTGTACTGGTCTATTGCCGCTGCTTCATTGAGAACGCCCCAATCCATGGCGAATTTTTTAGCACCTTCGGCAGCTGGGCTCGTCTCTGGTGTAAATACCTTCTCATGCCAGAGCTCAAATCGGCGGTTTCCTTTCCAAAATCCCAAGGCAGTGCTGAATGTGCTCGTGGTTAGCTTGTCCCTGCGAAGCGCAAACCACTCCTCCGAGCGTTGGGGAGTGTCGGATTGAGTGAGATTTGAAGCCAACACAAGCGATGACGCTATGAGAGAGTTAGTGTGGGAGATCAATTCTGAAGTGCATGTGGATACGGTTCTCAAACTTCTACCACGATATTTCCTCGTAACTGCGATGGATTTTTGGTGGGTTCCGTAGAATCTAGTGGCGCAGGACTTGCACATTGCAAGGATCCCCGTGCTGTTCGTAGCCATTTTGTTCTGGTGAATCATCCTACAAAAGCCACACACTGCTTGAAAAGCTTAGAAGCAGAATATAGATAAAATCAACACAAGGGTTTTTCATTTTTTCATAAATACATGCAAAACTTTTCGTTACTAGAAGTTGGAGGCAAAATTTTAATTTCTTAAAAACTGTGACAATTATAGTTTAATTTGAAGCAACCAACGTCAACTAATAGCTGGCAAAGCAATTAAAATTCATAATCTACGAATTACAAAATAACAATAATAAATCAGATACATTTGTGCAGTAATCGTGGGCATTCTGTCCATTATTGATAGGATTGCAAATTGCAATTGACAATTAGTTCTAAACTTAAGATTCAAATGTATAAAAGTTTGAAGTCTAACTCAGACGCTAAAATCCACACCATAAATCAGAAAAACTTCAAGATTGACGATATAAAACAGGTATTAGATTGATTTCAGAAATGAGGTTCAGGGTGGTACCTGAGAAAGCCCTAGAGTTGAAGGCGATGGCTGTAGGGGGCGAAAAGAGAGAAGAGGTCGGTCTCAGAATGGAGGAGGATCCTCCATTGACGAAGCAAAGCGAAGAAGCTCTGAACTGTGACTGAGAGGAAGAAACTCTGAAAACAATAAGCTTCATTGCCGGAAAGAAGTAAACAGGGAACAGAATCGCTACAAAGTCATGGCCTTTCCATCAACGTAAGATTAGGGTTTAAAATGGATAAAAATCTGCAGGGAGAGAGACAGAGAGAGAGTAGGGTGGACGAGGAGGAGAAGATACTGAGAAACGAATATCTGTTTCCAAGATGCAACGGCGTCGTTTCGGTCTTGTGATGTAAAACGTCGTCGCTGCATGAACTTGAGAGGGAGTCTAAACGCACCACCGTTCAGAATTCAGATAGTCAATTGGAATGTCGTTCACCAGCCGAAAAACAAAGGTTAAAAACATGTCGTTTGGGGTTTAAACAATGCACGACGCCAATTTTAGACAATAAACGACCAAATAAATAAAGAACAAGAAAACTTCAAAACGAATGTCGTTTGAGTAAAATGAGGTGATTGGTTGCTTTCAAACATGATACTCAATGACGGGGAGACCGGGGGCCAAGCTTTTTTTATTTTTTATTTCTTAATATAGTGGTTTTAATTTTAATATAATAAATATGCATATAAATTCGACTTAATCCTCTTAAATTAATAATTCTCTACATTTTATTAAGCCAACTATGTGTTACATATATAAACAAAAACTGTTATAAATATATACATATTAATATAATCTTAACAAAAAAAATGGCCTCTCCTACCAATAAATCCTACGTTGTCACTATGATAAACAACAAAAAAGACATACCGGTTCTCGAGTTGAATGACAAAAAATAGATTATTTTATGCTAGTTACGGAAATAAAGGACAGGAAAAATGTAGATTTAACAACATGTCGTCTGTCTTTAGACGACTGGAAACTTTCTAACTTTCAAACTTTCAACAGGACATCAATTTTGAGCAACAAAACTAATTTGGACGACACCAAAATTTCAAAAACAACCGGAATGTCCAAAAAGCTTTACTGATAAAACGACCTGGTTTTTTTTTGTGAGGAAACATTACCTGTCGTTTAATTTAACTGAAACAAAAGCATTTTTTTTCCCTGAAGGGATTTTATTTTTTTATTTCTATTCTTTGTTTTTTGCTAACAAGTTTTCTTGAAGAGAATAACAGCATTCTATCAATCCCCCAACGACGTGCGTTTTGTTTCAGCAACATTTTTTTTTTCTAATTAATAGGTTGTTTAAATTAATCCTTAAAAAAAAACATTTAACTTAAAGAAAATAATAATAAACTAAACAACCTCCAGTCCTACATTTGTACAAGACCACTTTACTTTAATATCTTTTATAATTGTCTTAGTGCAAAGTCTCTTACTTGTCGGAACAGATAAAAGAACCTAAACTCAAGAAAATTTGTCCATTTCTATTCTTATTATTATTATTATTATCCACTTCGCTTAAATCTAATTAATTACTCTTTCATAGTTTTATTTTCATTAAAAAAAAAAAAATCCCTCCTAGTTCTATAATTTATTTATACTATCAAAAAAGAAAAAACTTTTACTTCACGCATTCAAAAAAAAAAGAGGGGAAAATCTCAAACATACCCTTGTACTAAAAATGTGAAAAAACAAATACTAATCCTAAATCCTTGTTCTTTACATATAAGAAAAACCACCCCCAAATCTCTCTTTCTAGTCTCTTTCTCTTTCTTCATATCTTCTTCTTCCTAATCCTCCTGTATGTAAATGAGGTTACTTCTGCTTCTGCTCATGAAAACTCTCACTCTCTTCAACAAACTCCTCTGAAAAATCCCAATCAAAAACCTCAATCAATAACCAGTCCAAAGCAGAAGAAGCGGAAGCGGAAGAAGAACAATAAGCATGTACTTGTCGTCGGAGAAGCCACGGCCAATCAATTTCTACAAGGAGGAAGAAAGCCGCGAAATGATGATCGAGGTCGTCTCCAATGGCGGCGACATCTCCACCCACCAACAACCGCCGCCGTCGCAGATGGTGGTCGGCGACAGCAGCGGCGGGGAGGACCACGAAATCAAGGCCCCGAAGAAGCGCGCCGAGACGTGGGTCCAGGACGAGACTCGGAGCCTGATCGCTCTCCGCCGCGAAATGGACGGCCTTTTCAACACCTCCAAGTCGAACAAGCACCTGTGGGAGCAGATTTCCGTCAAGATGCGCGAGCGAGGGTTCGATCGCTTGCCCACCATGTGCACAGACAAGTGGAGGAACTTGCTCAAGGAGTTCAAGAAGGCCAAGCACCACGACAGAGGCGGCGGAGGCGGGTCCACCAGTGGGTCTGCCAAGATGTCTTATTACAAGGAGATTGACGAGATTTTGCGAGAGAGGAACAAGATTAACGCGCATTACAAGAGTCCCACTCCTCCTCCTAAGGTCGATTCCTTTATACAATTCTCCGATAAAGGTGAAAAAAAAACCATTTTTTCTTGCATTTTTAGTTTCTTTTAAAGATTTCAGCTTTGTTAATTTTCATGGTTTTGACACTATTTTGACTTTGTGTTTTACATTTATATAAGCAGGTATTGAGGATGCAAACATCTCTTTCGGTCCGGTTGAAGGTACGATTTGATGTTTGGAATTCTTTTTTATACTGTCTTTAGTCAAAGTAACGTTTTTCTTTCTCTTATCTTACCCATTCATCGGCTTTTTAGTTCTCTCGCCTAGATTCCTTCCTAAATCCTATCTAGTGCTAGTTGAAAAAAGGGTGTTCATTTAGGAGGTTTTCTTTTCTTTTTTCTTTTTTTTCCCCAACAGAAGAAGAATGTTGTTTCATTTAGGTTTTATCTTAGGACAAGCATCAATGTATCCGCAAATAAAGCATAATGAGATTCTGTAGCTGATTCGTGATGATATCTATTGATGGCATACATACAAGATGGGACTACGGCTCTGTCCAAAAAAAAAAAAAAAAAAAAAAGAAAGAGAACCGGAACTTAAAATTGTGCCTCTTTTTTTTTTTTTTTTGTTGTTGTTGTAATTGTGACTGCTTAGTTTTTAATGTACCAGAAAGAAAGATGTAAGAAATATGGACTGCCTTTAATTGTTGCCTCTTTGGTTTAAACCCGATTTAAACTGAATCTTAGGTCTGTGTATTTCCTGGTTACTATTGTTGCACTAAATAGTTCTTTCATTCAAAGATCTTGTTTCTTCTTTTACATTCTGTATTTCATTTTCTTTCTGGTATCTGTCATTTAAGTTCCATTTTGTGCAGCGTGTGGCAGGCAAACTCTCAATCTTGAAAGACGCCTGGACCACGATGGACACCCTCTTGCCATCACGGCAGCTGAAGCAGTCGCAGCAAGTGGAGTTCCGCCTTGGAATTGGCGAGAGACCCCTGGAAATGGTAAGTCAGAAAGTATGAAACTTGCACTTCATGTGTTTTCTCTGCTCACACGACGTAAACTTGCATTTTTCAAAGGCTTGCTTTTGATTTTTTTATACATATACATACTGCACGATTGCAAGCTTCCCAACTCAAGATCATGAAAGCAAAGCTCTTGTCTTGATAATTTCATTGGCTTTTCATTTCCATTCCCCCTTTTTGATAGGTGGGGATGGTCAGTCATTCGGTGGAAGGGTTATATCAGTCAAGTGGGGGGATTATACAAGGAGGATAGGAATTGATGGCACTGCAGAGGCCATCAAAGAAGCTATCAAGTCGGCGTTTAGGTTGAGAACAAAACGTGCGTTTTGGTTGGAGGATGAAGACCAGATCATTCGAAGTCTCGATAGGGACATGCCTTTAGGAAATTACTTGCTTCATGTCGATGAAGGTATGTTAATCTGCTTATAGTTTAGTGGATCGTATTCTCTTTGAATCATGTATGTCTGTGTCTCTAGCAAACTTTTTGTGAAACAACAGTTTATGGGACGCAAGCTAGGCTAAAACTCCTTAACTTGCAGGGTTGGTAATCAAAGTGTGCTTGTACGATGAATCAGATCATATGCCGGTGCATACTGAGGAGAAGATCTTTTATACCGAAGATGATTACCGTGATTTTTTGACTCGCCGGGGCTGGACATGTCTGAGGGAATTTGATAACTACAGAAACATTGATAACATGGATGATCTTAGACCTGGTGGTATTTATCGTGGTGTGAGTTGAGGCCAGCACGATCTCATTTGTATTGCCCAGGAAAATGCGTTGTTTAATATGTTTCTCAACTCCACAGAAAAAGATAAAAGAGATCCCTCATGCTGATTTGGAATCATTTTTATCACTCGTATATAAATGATGTTTCAACACGAATATCTGGATCAAGTTTGTAAATATGTGTACCGTCTCAGTAGTATCAGAGGATTTCCAAATTCAAACACCTCTGAGTTTTTTTGTTAAGTTATAAATCTTGTTTCTTTGCCGTTCATACTTTACTTTTTAGTAGATAGAAATTAGAATCAGATTACAGTGTTGAAACTTTGAAACAGTCCAAGCAACTAACTTGAGAAAGTTTATGTGCGCACATTTCCAGCAAATCGCAATTTAGTGAAATTTTTATTTTTTTTTCCCTTGGTAACAATTGACATTAACATTATTTTGATTTTTGACTAAATTACAGCAGCAACCAACCAAAGGGTAGATTGGTGTGTGATTAATGTTTTATTCACAAGTTATAAAGGCTAAATTTATTAATTTATAAAGGAAACACATAGAAAAATACAGAGAATGTTTTTGATAAACTTAAAATAAAGGTATATAAATTAGCCTATTCTCCTTTGAAGATAGTCGATAAAGGTATAAAGTAGTCGATGTTTCTTTCAAGATAATTCTTAACTTTGCTTCGATCATATTACTATCATTTGGTACTAAAAAGAATAAAAATTGGTAGAAGATTTGAGATCAGAAGAATGTTTGAGATCCCAGAGTTATTTTTTTCCCAACCTTTAGAAGAAGAATGTAGATTGATGTTTCTCTTCATTTCCGTGCGGAAAAGTCACAAAAATGAATACATTTCAAGACTTTGAGACATCATCAACATATTGTTTTCTAAAAATGTGAATAAAAGATTCACAATCCACCAAACCCCCAATCAACATGATAAAAAGGGGTGTAAACCTTTCCTTCTACTGCTCATCCCATTCATCATTCTTATACGATACCAAAGTGTTCACCTTGTGAATCTGCCAAAGCACAAACAAAACTATTCAATCAAAACCAGCCACAAAAATAACATTTTTTGTTGTTTGAATCGATTCATATTTGATACTAAAACTTGCCTTGGTATCAAAAGAATGCAGTTTCACCATTTGTGGATTAGCAATCAATTTGGGATCACTCTCAATCCAAGTGAATGGCACTGCAACATCTTTATCAGTATATGCCAGCACATCAAACACACCTAAAACAAAACAGAAAAAATCAGAATAATTTAAAAAAAAAAAAGAGAAATTCGTAAATAAGTAGTACCACTGGTGAGTGAAATGGTTCTTGTTCTTACAAGTTTCATCAAGGCACGGCAAGTAAGTAATGCTTGAAGCAATCTGGCGCATGATTGCTTGAATCTCCCTCATAATTTCTTTGTCGCTCTTTTCCTTTGACACCCTAAACTCACATTTCAAACATAAAACTAAGGTTATAAAAAAAAAAAACAAGAAACAAATTAAGGGTTTGTCTATCTAAAATTACCCCGTCTCAACGACCTCACTGTTCGTCTCGATGCTGAAATTCCACCTCTCAAGGACTTCATTTGTAGACTTGCTCATTATTACTAGAACAATTCTCTGTAACTTTCCAGATTCAAGCCATTCTAAACAACAACAATAATACCATTTTTTAAAAAAATGGAAAAATGAAATTTGAGTCACAAAGATCAAGATAATGCTTGCTTCAAACATTATCCTAACAATCACGCCACATTATACTCGATGGGAAAGGGAAAATTATTGTTGAGTACTTGCAATTTTGAGTAAACAAAGTGCAATTAACTTGTTTTCTTTCATTTTCCTACAGTTTCTGGGTATCCAAGCCGGGAAGAAGATGGAAACCAACCTGAAAGCTGTGCAGTTAGGTTGGCAATGAAGGATTTGACGCCCTCATCTTGAGTAAGCAACATCGGGAGCCCATATTTCTTCACTTTCACGAAACTCTCTTCGGGATAAACTCCGCGATTATACAGAATGCTATATATTCATTCATTCAAAATTAGGGTTTTCCTTGTTTCAAACGAACAAATAAAATAAAGAGAAAAAAAATAGAAAATTGAACAAGATCGCATTTATTTTACCTGTTCGCAGCATATCCTGAAAATTAATTAAAAAAAGTAGAAGAATCAGTCTTTTAATCCTCAAAAACCAAACAAATCGCAGCAAATAAAGTCGATTTAATTTTTTTTTTTCAAAAAAAGTATTGTTTGCTAATTGAAACGGAAATCTCGAGGGAGACGAAAACATACCAAAGAACTCGCTGACGATCGCTGCAGAGCCGCGGAGAGTAATTATGTCTCTAGATGCGGTTTTCGAAGCCATTTTCACGCGAGAGAAAATTTTTCCAGTTTCTGTTTGGTGCGAAAGAAAAACAAATGATGTTTCTCGAAGCAGGGGAAGAGAAAATACGGGATTTTGATGGAGGAAACGAAATGAAAGAAGCAGAAGGTGAGCGGATTATGATGGGGACGCCGAGGAAATATAGATCGGGGTTTGGGGGAAAAAAGAAAGTGGAAAGTTTGATAAAGCGCAACGGCTAGTTCTTTCGGATTGGTTCGCTGTCTTGTTTCTCGAGGCCTAGCCAACGGTAACATTTTAAAATTAGGCCTTTTGGGCTGAGGAAAAGTCTGTCCTGCTTTTTCCCCAATTTCGGGTGTTCTTTTTAAAAAATAAAAAATACATAATTTGCTATAGTTTTGTACAAGCATGTCATTTACACCATTCTAACTAATTTAGTATTAATTATAGCCTTTTATTTTAAAAAAATAGTAGAAAATAGACCAATATGAAAAGTTTAAGGAAGTATATAGGCTAATTTTTAGTTATAGAAATTAATAGGCCATAACTTGTCAAGTTATAGTTCATAGCCAGATAAGTTATGGACAAAAACCGTGAATTATGGACAATAACTTGTTAAGTTATTGTTCATAACCAGACAAATTATGGACGAAAACAGTAATTTGGCATATTTATTAACTTATGTAAACTATTGGCCTATCAATTTTAATTCATCTCAAGTCTTAGCCTATTTTCCTCTTTCTCCCTTTATTTTTCTTCATTAATTAAATAACAATTATTTATTTTTAAATATCGTGGCATAAATAATATTTTTTACCACATTGTGTGGTATTTTTAATTTTTTCCCATAAAATAATAAATAATTCAATTTCGGGTGAATTAGAAGCACACCAACTTAATTGACATATCAAATTTATACATAAATGTGCTACAATTCACAAATGAATAGCTTGTCTTAAAAAGTGGTATGCCCAGCTTACAGATTGTTTGGTTAATGAGTTTGAACATAATATTAAATTTTTATAAAAGAACATTGTTGCAGTTCTGATTGCGAACCAAATGCAACATTAATTAACACCAAATTTCATACCAAACAATTAGTAACGTGACATCATTATAAAAGTGGTCAATTTTATGAATGGTAGTTCTCAATTTTCTTCAAAAGAGTGGTCAATTGTGCTTTTAAGTTAACTTTTTGTTGGTAGTATTTTCTCCTGATTATATTAACTACCGTCCCTTTTTTCCTCCATTATATTTGTATTCAGATTATTTATTTATTTATTTGGTAAGTTAATGAATATCAAACATTTATACGATTTTGAGAATGTTAATATTTGATGCTGCATTTTATGATGTTATTTACGAGCATTATGTTAAAACATATGACAAATTGTATTGAAAATCATCAGTATCATAGAAGATCATTATCACTATTTTAGTATTCTATAATTACGAGATTTTATGACAATGCATATGATAATTAATCGTTATATAGAAGATCATTATCGTAATTCTATGCTCATCATTCTGAACATTGATAGTGCAATCATCACTATTTTAGTATTCTATAATTACGAGATTTTTCGTTTTACTTTTTATGTTAATGCAATGTTTATTATGATAACGAAATCTTGCTATGAATCTATTTTAAAGAAAACAAGAAATTACCAGGCGTGAAGACGTTTTGATTTAAAATAAATGAAGTTAATACCCTCAAAAGAAACTTATTCTTATTCTTATCTTAAAAAAAAGGTTAGTCTTATTGATATAATAACGGATTTATAGACGACGATGATTTTCGCACACTTAAAATCTTAGAGATGGCACATTTAGAAATTATACAGCTAATAAGATGACACGCGAAAAATATAGAAAAAAAATGAAGTTAATACCCTCAAAAGAAACTTATTCTTATTCTTATCTTAAAAAAAGGTTAGTCTTATTGATATAATAACGGATTTATAGACGATGATGATTTTCGCACACTCTTAGAGATGGCACATTTAGAAATTATACAGCTAATAAGATGACACGCGAAAAATATAGAAAAAAAACGAGAAACTTAAATAGAAAAGCACAACTAGATAAAGAGCTATGCAAATCAAACGCACCACCATTATAATTATATGAGATTTAAATGGATATATGTCTCTTCAACACGAAAACAAAGTAGATATAAGAAAAAAGAAAATTCCTAACAGAAATCCTCTAGAGAAGTCTCCTCCTGTGAAACAAATTGAATGAATTTGAGACGAAGGAAGAGAAAGAGAATGAAAATTTTGATGATACACGCTAATATACTTTGCTTTTAGGATGGCACTTTTATACTATAGTCGAGTATAAGCCCAAAAACTGGTGCACTTTATTTTATTTCAAAAACAAAGTAAGGAAAATTTTGATGATACACTCATGACAAATCAACTTTGTGACAACTCTAAATTATAAAGTATTAGCTTACGTCATAATTGTGTAGCACTTAATTTGTTTAAGTGTAACACTAATGTTATGTTTGGTAGGATGGATAGAAAAGAAGAAGGAATGAGAAGTAAAATACCTAGGTGAAGGAAGTAAAATCGTAGAAGAGAGATTTTCCCTCATGTTGTTTGGTAGAAAAAAAGTAAAAGTGAAAAGAAAATGTTAAATCTAATTCATTTTATAATAATTCCCCTTTACAAATAAAAATATGATGAACGATTAAGGTTAAAATAGCTATTTTATACCTCATTTGTTTTGTCAAAAATTTTTTCTCATCTTTTTTTCCTAAAGTTGGAAGGTTAAAAATTGGTGGGCCCCATGGATTCTTATTTTCCTTTCTTCCTCATTTCTTCTCTACCAAACAACCAAAAATTCTATTTTTCTCTCTAAAATCCTTCTTTTAATTTCTTTCCCTCACCTTTCTATTCTACCAAACAAACCGTACATATTATATGTGTTGAACTACGCTTTTTAGATATTATATTAAAGTAAACTAATTGTTTTATACACGTACAAGTATTGTTACACGAGTATATCAAAAAAATTATACATACGTGACTGATTCGAATGCCAGACTGAGACAATTTCTATAATTATGTTTGATGTAGGAGGTTTTAATTATAGTTGTCGTGTATTGAATTAGTTTTATTTTGTCATTAGTTTCTCATTTTTCTTGGTGGTTATTTTGTTATCATTTTATAAGTGAACTATAAATAGCCACGTTAGCTATTATAATTGAGATTTCGTTTTAAAAGTCATATCTTCCGTTCAGATTAAGCTGATAAAATTCTAACGTATCCATTCTGCTGCATTGATATTGAAACTACAAACTTGGCTTGATAATGACTTGGGCAAAAGTAATAATCAGTGAGATATTTTTTATGAGCTAGAAAAATTCCTTGTAAACGTTATCTCCAACGCCAACCCAAAATGAAAAAAAACAAGTAAACAACTAGTGTACACGCACTGGTTTGAAACGGTCCTGGTCACCCGCCATGAATGAACAACATAAAGGAGATATGACGTACGTGGCAGTTATGCAACTGCTTGGTTTTAAACCAGCCTCGTGTAAATATACGGCATCAAGCATAAAACATAACGTCAAGCATTACTTTTAGCTGCTTTGTTTCGATAAAATTCCTGTTTATCGCAAAAGATGTTTATAGAAGTAGGATTCTATAATTAAATTTGTTTAGAGGGTTATTGGCGCTTTTGAGAATCGATCGTTTTGGTAAGTCGATTCGGGTTGATTTGAGTCAATAGAGCGTTAGAATGAGAACGTAAAATGCGAAAAAAATAAACGAACACACAAATTTATAGTGGTTCTCCTGATAATGCAGGGTACGTCTATTATAGAGCTCCGAGGGTTTCACTATCTCTTGTAAAAAGTGCAATTACAACGGAGAATGAGAATTGGAGAAGAATGAAGAGGGGATTTAGAGAGAGAGAGAGAGAGTTTATGCGTATTATGAAGGTTTCAAGATGTCTAATTCGTGATCTACATGGGCTATTATTGAATAAGGTCATCTACTCTCCTTTTCTCTTAGATTGGATAGTTTTCCTTTTCTTGAGTTGATTTTCCATATTTACTTTCTAATATCTTTGCTCTTCTATATTGATCAGATACGTGCTTTTAATGTAGAATTTGGCTGAGATAATCTTCGTGGCCTCTAAGGAATCTCGTTTCTTGAAATATTCGATGTGGTTCCCATACGCCTGTTGTCAGTCGGCCTCTAGTAGTCTCGAGTCGATCTAGTCTTCAATTAATTTCAGTCAATTAGAGTTGACCTATTTCTTTAAATGTTAGCCACGTGTACGGTGATGATCGTGATGCTGATTTTAACTCTACGAATTGTCCTTGTAGAATTATGCCAAATTACAATTTATTTGTGCATAATAATGACACGAGCACTAGTAACTTATTCATGATGATCGTGGTGCTGATTTTAACTCTACGAATTGTTCTTGTAGAATTATGCCAAATTACAATTTATTTGCGCATAATAATGACACGAGCACTAGAAACTTATTCATCAACTTTGTAACGTGTTAATTTTGTTTTGGTTTTTCCTTTGACAGTGTTATTCTACCTTTTTTTGATAAGGAAACGAATAAGTCGTGCCATGAATGAAACGTTTCACCATTCGAACATGAAGTTGTAGGTATATCATGATCAATGTTCGCCACTATTACAAGTACTTTTGAACAAAGTTGTTTTGTGTGCTTAACTTAAAACAACTTAGATCATATAATGATTCTTTTTTTTTTTTTTTTTTTTTTTTCCTGAAACCAGTAGATAAAAAGTAAAACTCATTGTAAACCACAACATCACATATGTGATCATATAGCACTTGTCTTCATCGTTGTATAATTTCACGTGTTGATGTTTCGTCGGTTGTTTCTTGCGTCCTAATATTTATGAGGAAATTAAGGAATCTATTCCCTTTTTCTTCTATCTCAAAAAAGCTAAATCATATTTGGACGGAACGGAAACGTTGTCCCTTGAATGCAATAAAAAAGAAAAAGGAAACAAAAAAGAGGTGGCGCTTCTTACTGAGGAGAAGAAATGAAAAGGATTTCACAATTAATTAAAGGCATATTGAAATAGACAAGTGAATTTTTGTAGGCCTTGTGAAGGGTACTCGAGTACTCCAACGAATTGGGAACTTTGGGCAAATTATGGACAGTTGTGTAGCCATGTATGATCCATATCCCACCATTTAAGACTAAATTCTTTTGTGAGCCCCAGTTATACATGTACATTTTGCCAATGGGCCGATGCTCTTTTTTTTTTAATAAAAAAAAAGAAATTATTAGTGTTA